TATGTATATTATATTTTTTTTTACGTACATATTTGTACATATTGTATTTATTGGATTACTAATGTTTTTAAGCATATAAAAGACAAATCAAAAAGAGACATGGACTTGTTGTTGTTGTTGTTGTGGGTGGTGTTGTATTCAGTGTTGGAAGAAGTGCTCAGATCCTTTACTTAAGTAAAAGTACCTGCATATTGAAGTATTATCAGCAAAATGTATTTTGATTGTACTTTTCATACAAAATTTGAATCAGACTAAAGCTGTCAAATAAATGTAGAGGCATCCAAAGTATAATTTTTTATCTCTAACAGGTAGTGGAGTAGAATTATAAATTAATCTGAAAAAATCGAATCAGTCAAGTGAAGGACAAAGTTCAAAGTATCGATAAGGATTGAACTTTTACTAGACAGTTTCTAATAAAACGTATAAACGTTGTTATATTAGGTATATATGTTGTCATAAATATATATAAATGGTCTTATTGATTATCATCATTATGTTTCTCTTGATGAGCCCTGATCAGAGTTGAAGTCCATGAATAAACAAATTGTTCATATCATTAATATAATATATATTGTATATCCAGACATTTGGTGGGGGGGCTCAAGATTTTGAGATACCTGAGAACAAATCCAAACTTTACCAAAGTACTGCACTCGAGTAGATGAGCTATGTTCTGTTGTTAATGTGTGATGATAATGTAATTGTATGAACATTTCATGTTTTATTGAGGACGTAATGGTGCCATAGGCTGATGACGAGTGACGTCATTGCGCACATGCGTATGAGCGGTGGGCGGAGTCATCCAGTCGGTCAGGAAGAGGCGAAAGGCGGACACAGAAACATCAAGCGGTAAATCTTTCTCAACAGCAGCTTTTCCACCGTCACCCGGCGTTTGTTTCGGTTCCAGGTTCATCACAGAACTGCGATGAACGCGCGGGCTATAGTTTCAGAGAGATTGAGTGAAATGACAGCGATTGAAACCGCTGGAAACACCGTTAGCTTCGACGCTAGCTGCTGTTAGCTGCTTTGACAGGCCCCGGACTGCACCGCACAGCGTCTGAGCAGGAACGAGAACCCAGCAGCGAAATGTTGTGTTTACACCGTCCTCTCTGTCCTCTCTCTGTCTGTTAGCCGAGGCTTTGCTCTGGTGAAGTTAGTCCGAATACACCGGAATGTTTTGATGGAAATAAAAGCTAAAAGGAAACCGGTGTTCCAGCGTCACCGACGTTATCTGGGTTACTTCTGCTAAACAGGAGGAACTGTCGAGGAAACCACATACGTGTTGTATCAGCACTGTGCTCATCACAGAAAGTCTTACTCACCCTGCGCACTTCTGACAAACCCTCTATGATTGAATTATCAGTGGCTGACTTTATAGTCTGTATCTATGACCTGTTTTTTTTTTTACTCTCTTTTTTTCATAGATGGCAGCAATCAGGAAGAAGTTGGTGATAGTTGGGGATGGTGCCTGTGGAAAGACCTGTCTGCTCATCGTCTTCAGCAAGGACCAGTTCCCAGAGGTGTACGTCCCCACTGTGTTTGAGAACTATGTGGCAGACATTGAAGTGGATGGCAAACAGGTGAGACGTACTGGGAACACTGTCTGCAAACCAAGGGGCTGGAGGCCCAAAGGGTCCTTGATTTAGAGAGTTGGAGTCTGCAGCAAAAGGAGCAGTTCTTCACTCATTTATTGGTCATTTACTCTTTTATAATTTTTACGTTCTTGTGTTTGACTGTTTTGTTTGCCACTGGATGCCTACATTTCCCTCAGGATCAATAAAGTTATCTATTCATCTATCTATCTATCAAATAAGGTTTTAGTAGAATTTTAGATATTTGTTTTGCTGTTAAATAGAGCGGCAAAGATTTGTCTAATAATCTCTAGGCGTAAAATCAAAGAACAGATATATTCATAATCGGTTTTAAACAAAAATGCCAAATCTTTTCTGGTTGTTGAAAAAAAAAAAAAGGATTTTTTCCAGCCTCATACATGGTGTAAATGTAATGCCTTTGGTGTTTGGACTTTATTACAAAAAGTATAATGGGCCTTTTTAAAAAAAGTCTTTTTGAAGAATTGTTGGTTAAACTGTAATGGGAATAATGTGCAGTAACAGCAATTTGCAATATTGGGCTGCAGCTAATGATTGTTTTTCTTTAGCGATTAATCTGCTAATTATTTGGCAATTAAATCGTCAATCTATGAAACAATAAAAAATACAGAAAATGCCAAGGTTAAGAATACAAGGGTGATCTTATGAAGATTGGTTAATTGATTCATTGATTAATTATTTCCTACAAGTGTTACATGTATATTATATTGTTAGAGTCTCTTTGTTCTTGTTTTTCCCATTTCTCTGCACTATCAGCTCTATAGGCATCCTTGTTTATCTGCTCTCTTCCTATAGAAAGAGTTAGAACAATGTAAAATGGGTCAGTTTAACTGTGCAACTTAAATAATCAAATTTCGTCTACATGTCCAACACTCCAAAGCTGCCATTTTATCTCTGCAACTTTCAATTCACATAAATCTGTCACTGTTTTTCAGGTGGAACTAGCACTTTGGGATACGGCCGGACAGGAAGACTATGACAGACTGAGGCCTCTCTCCTACCCTGACACTGATGTTATCCTCATGTGCTTCTCCGTAGACAGCCCTGACAGTTTAGGTACTGTCTTTACAACACACACACACCACTTGATATTGAACTCCTTACTATTGTGAAATGGATACATGTTGCTAAATACTGCTCTCTCTCCCTCTACTCACTATAGAGAATATTCCAGAAAAGTGGACTCCTGAGGTGAAACACTTCTGTCCAAATGTTCCCATCATCCTGGTGGGCAATAAAAAGGATCTGCGCAATGATGAGCACACCAGACGAGAGCTTGCCAAAATGAAACAGGTCAGTGCAGAACATGCTTGGGATGTACACATTTGTCTGTATAAATATTGAAAAAGTGTAACCTTCTCTGACATGTGTCTCTAGGAACCAGTTAAACTTGAAGATGGAAAAGAGATGGCAAACCGCATCAGTGCCTATGGCTACCAGGAGTGTTCTGCCAAAACCAAAGATGGTGTGAGAGAGGTCTTTGAGATGGCAACTCGGGCAGCACTGCAGGCCAAGAAACGTGGCAAGAAGTCCAGCTGCCTTCTGTTATAGGCGGAGATGAGGAGGGAGCTGATCTCGAGCACAGATGGAGAGGGTGGCTTCTGATGAGATTTGACATAGGGGAGAATATCGGGGAGGTCCCAGAAAAGTTTTGCAGATGTTCAAGTTCTGATCTGCCAATTATCCTCAGCAAATTAAAGCAGGTCTGAAATGAATTGATAGGCTTCTACACATTGGTCCTTTGTCTATACTATTAGGTTATGTGCCATTTTGCTTGCATCTATCAAAAATGTTCAGATCTAGAAGTCTCTAAGGCAGGTGGTGGGGGGGTGGGGATGATTTAAAGTTGAGTAGATGTAAACAGATTGAAATGTGCCATGATGGGAATGAAGAGAGAAAAAAGGTCCTTACCAGGCCAAAGATAATGTGGACATGAGAGAGAGAAAGGAAAAAAAAGACATTAATATAAAATAGTTTTGAATTAAGACCATGTGTAAGTGGATTTTACACAGTATCGCCTACATGTAGTGCCTTGAGAGCAGTGGTCATGAAGAGTAAGTTAAGGGGTAGGGATTCATAACTTGGATGGGGTCTTATGTCGTTTATAGTGTCCTCACTTCATGTTTGTGAATGCTTCTCACCTGTTATTGGCTTGGCTCCTTCAGGCCCATTTTCTGACTCAGGCGCTATGCAGGGGTATGCCTAAACCAGATTGTATAAGGTATTTTCCCATACTGAATTACTCACATGAACTTCAGTGTGTGTGTGTTTGCGTGCGTGCGCAGCTGTATGGTGGTTTGTTTTTTCCAGTGCAGGTCTGCATGTGGTGAATGTGTGTATATTTGTGCGCGTGTGTATTAACATACTATGTGTCTACGTACTGTATGCATGGAAAATCCCTCTGTGTCTCTGACCTAACCCCATGTTTCCATGCCAAAGTTACCCCTGATGACCACATTTACTGGCTCTGGCGGGTAATGGAACCAACAGCTACTCAGAGTGATATACAAACCTTCACTTTACTGGAAGACATTTTACTGTAGCTAGAGGCACAATCAGGTTAAACATGTTATGAGTTCTTAAAACCTTTTTGTGTATACCAGAGATTCATTTGATTGTGTTAATCAGTGGGTAAAATCACGAGTGGTGTAGTCGATAAGTTGAATATTCTTTCATATAGACGATAGGGTTGTCTCATTACTATAATGTCCATTATGTACTGTATGTCTTACAAGGCCTTGCAAGGACATGTTAATGATGTGTATTTCAAGTTTGCCTTTTACTCAACTCTCCCATCGTCCCTTTTATGATATTGTCATTATTGTACTATAACTTTTTATTGTTGATGTCTCTAATTATCTTAGTATTTTTTAATCATTCTACTTAATCCTGTTATTATCAGCTTATGTCAGTTAAATGATAAAATTGTAACCGTAGTATTTCATTTAATTAATTGAAGGTCAAGCCTGGGCTGTGAGGTTGGAAGGTTTTGGGGGGTGGGCTGCTGGAGCTTTTTTTTTTGTACTGTGACATATTGGGATTTCTGGATTTCTCTTTTTCCAAATAAAGCCGGTATTAGGGTTTTCTGTTGTATGGTGTCTCTGCTCCTTGATCCATTCATTCATTAACAATAATCATATTTATAGCATTGGTTTAATTACTACAGATAGGAGAGGCATGACTGGTTAAAACAAATATTTGTATTTGGATCTGATGAACAGAAGCATGACAACATGCACATCCTCCTCAGTTTATCTGTCACGCGCTCCTAGCGTAGGCTCGGCCAGCTCGTCTCGTCCAATCATCGTCCACATTCTTGCATTCCCTTTCCAAGCACCAATCAGAAAGCAAAGCCAGACGCTGGTCCCGCCCAGCCGAAGTGTTGTCCTGCTGTGGCCATTTTACACTTTGAGTCCCTGAGAAACCAAACAGGCTTCTCACCTGCGCTGCTCGCCGACATTCAAAGAGCTGCTGTCGGGTACATGTCACGCTGGTAAGTGTTCCTCTGACCTCACGTACAAACGTCGGTGTTGTGTTTGCAAACCTCCGAAGCCCGTTGAGCGGCTCAGCTCGGAGCAGCTAGCCAACCCCGGGTTAGCATAGTTTAGCATGTGCGCTAACGGAGATGACCGCCACACGTCATTGTTGATCACTCCATTTTTTTTTTGGGATAGTATCTTTGAGCTCGATCAGACACACACACACACACACAGTTTATATCCAGTAGAGATGCAGGGATACTGTGTCTGTGTCAGCCGCTTGGGGTGAATAGCGTATAAAGCGGTGACGATAGACTCCATTAAAGTTATGGAAGTCTGTGCAGCACCAGAAATGCACCAAACCTGGGGGCAGGTAAGGAGGCTGCAGCAGCCGCCTCTGCTGAAGGCACGTCCCAAACTTACTGCATTAAAGCAGCTTTCATGATTGACTCTGCTTCTTAACGATGAGGTATGTGCACAGTCAATGTGATCATTAATTCTCTTTGAAACCAGAGAGAAAAGGTCAGAGACTGGGACCAGAGTCAGTGGCGGACATGGACTATGAGCGGAGGTGAGTAAACAATCTTTACCTTCATACACTTTCTTACTAACATACATTCGTCAGACCAGAGTCCCTCACATCATCTTCAATGGTCAACAGGGGCGGACGAGGTGACCGCATAGGTCGCTATGGCAACAACCACAATGACCACAACTTCCGGGACATGGACTACAGAGGCTATGGACAAGAGGAGGATGAGGCAGGAGCAGGATACGATGTCCGAGCAGAGGGAGCTGGACCGTATGGCCGTGACGAGCAAACGCTGGGCGCCCCTGACTTCCCACCGGGTCGTCTCCAGGATCGCCCAGGGTTCCACAAGAGAGGCGATGGGCGAGGGGACGTTGCGCACGAGGGGAAGGGGCTCCCGTGGCCCCCTTGCTCTCAGTTGCGGCCTGAATTAGCCCTCCCCTTGCTCCAGAGGGATGAGGACGGGTCCCGGCGGGAATTTGAGCAGCTACAGACTGGCCTACAGCAAAAGGGCAGAGGGAAAGGTGGAAGAGGCTTCCCAGAAAACAGTGGCCCTCACTCAGGGAGTAAAGAATGCAACTGGAGTCGTGTTGGTGCCCCTTCTGAACAAATGGATTATAATACGGCAAGACAGAGAGAGGAGGAAAGGTTCTCTCGTGGGGGAATGAAGAGGAGGGTAAGCTATAAAAAGTTCATCCTCTTTATAGAGCTGCTACAGTTTTTGTTGTTGCCATCTGTTGTTGATTTGTGACTCTTCTATGCAGGCTTTTCCAGTGGGGTCAGAGGAGCATGGTTGCGGGAGCGTTGGTCCTGACCTGTCGCTTGAAGAGTTGGATCAGAGGGACCAGGACTACCGTGCAGATCTAGACCACAACCAGAGGCCCAGCAACATCATAATGCTGCGTATGCTTCCCCCCAATGCCACAGCCAATGAGGTACGTTTATGTTATGAGATTTTCTCTACAGTGGTCTGATTAGACGTGGGGAATGTTGGTTAGTTGGCTAAATGGTAATAATGCCTTTGTTTTCATAGATTCGTGCACAACTTCAGGAGCAGGGGATTCAGCCAAGAGAGGTTCGCCTCATGAGGAACAAATCTTCAGGTGAGAACTTGCTCGTTGCTTGGATATTTTTTCTTTTCTTACTTCCTTTCTCCTGTCATCTCCTCTTCCTTTTTTCCTTTGTATCACTCATGCATAACCTGCTCCATCATTTGCAATTCTATTTCAGACGATATCTTAGTTGCTCTGTCTTCTTTTTCTTAACAATAAGTGTCTTCGCAATCTCTTTCCTTCTCTCTGACTCTCTTTATCTATAGTGGAGTAGATAGCTGATGCACAGAACACAAATTTATATTCATACACTTAAATACAGGCAGTGCTTAGATTCCTGCCTTCATTTCTTGGGTCTGCTGGTGTCTGTAACCTCGCTTTCACCCTCAGGGCAACAAAACCAAAATCTTTGCACGCTTCAGAGTAGAGCTCTCTAGATCTGGTGATAAGAGAAGAATGCATGCATACAGTTTTATAGTTCTTCACTCCATGGCTTTAAGTTTCCTTCTCACTTTGGCTCTCTTGCTTTCTTTATCCCCATTCTTGCCTCATCCGTCCTGAAGTGAGGTGTGTCTGACTAGATGGATTTGGCTCTGAACTAACAGTGTTAGTGGCGAAATGAACAGTAGAAGCAGAACATGATTGTGTTTGTCAGCTACCTCTCAGCTATGAGAGCGTCATCCATACCACTGACAAAAGCTTGTCTTTTTTTCCAGCCTCACTTGCCTTTGAAACCAAAAACTGCAATATCATGTTTTATTTCTTTTGTTAAAAACCAAAAAACGGAAAAACATTAAAAAAAATTTGTTGTTAGAATCAAAAAAAGGGGAAAAAATTAGGAAACGCAAAAACATAAATTAACTGTCCTGTGCTTACATAATAATTTTTTATAGACTGGCCAGTGGCCCGGTATTCTCTTGGCTTTTATTCTGAAATGTTTCCTTACTTCCGTATCATCTGTTTTCCTTTCTAAATCCTTCAGTTCAAAAGGGCAAAATGAAATGGGAATTTCCTGCTTTTTATTCAGGGTTTTTTTCATCATTTGATTCTGACAATGGAAAAAAGGAAAAGCTGCTCCATTTTCCAGTTTTTTCGTTTTTGTTTTACTACTAAGAAATATGGTATGTTATTTTTTTGTTTTTTGGATTCAACAGAAAGAAAACCCTGCCTGAACATACACAGACTTCTAACTCGCTGGTTGTCTGTAATATGTATCTGACTCGGTCACACTTACAGTCCCCTGCTCTGCTCTGTCTCTCACTCCTACATCACCATTTCTCTGTTTTTAAGACCAAATCACTCAGTTTGAGATGTTTGAATATTGACTTTTGTTAATCCACTCCATGCTCACAGTGTTGTTAAAAAAACAAACCTAAATCTATATTAATTTGTAAAACTAAATATGTTTTACAGTTTGGTGTCAATCATTACTAATGAACGGCTTTTAAGACGAATCATCCACCTTGCTTTGTAGTTCACTCTGACTCTCTGTGTGTGTGTGTGTGTGTGTGTGTGTGTGTGTGTGTGTGTGTGTGTGTGTGTGTGTGTGTGTGTGTGTGTGTGTGTGTGTGTGTGTGTGNTGTGTGTGTGTGTGTGTGTGTGTGTGAGTGAGAGAGAGTTCTGTTGGTGCCTGGGTTTCATTCAAATTCAGCAAAAGAGCTCAGACTCAAACTGATGAGTGGGTATGAATTTCTCTCTCTCTCCCTCTGTCCTTGACCCTGTTGAGACACTGTGCGTCCTCCCACCCTTGAATTTGACAGTGGCTCTCCAACTGGCTGTCAGATGTGCTATTACCAAGGGAGAGAGGAAGCAATGATTTCTTATTTTATTAGTGCTGATACAGGGTCTCTCTCTCCTCTGTACGTGAAGCACTAACCCCTCAATGCGTTGTTGTTATGTTGTTGTTGTTGTTGTTCGGTAACCATGGCGCTGGGCGGTGTCCAGGTCAGAGCCGAGGATTCGCCTTCGTCGAGTTTAATCTCATACAGGAGGCCACCCGCTGGATGGAGACCAACCAGGTCACTCTCCCCCTACACATACACACATACACATATATGCACACATGCAGTGGGACATATGAGTTAATATCAGGACAAACGCACTGTTAAAATAGTGCCCTGTCAAATATACATGATGCATTCCTGTATGGTGTTCACAAAGAAATAGATCTGTATCCTAAGAGGGAAATTCACCTTTTCTTTCTACTTTGTACACATAAAGGTAAATTCACGACAATTGTCTGTCTGGGGCCCAGCTACATAGTTTTCATAACTGGACCCTCCAAGTCACATTTACTCATTTGTCCAATACAAGCTCCTCTTTCTTCAGCGACATGTTCTCACTTCTTCTCCTAAGTTTACAGTATCACCTCCTGGACAGTATTGGCAGGATTAATATACTTTCTCACATGGTCTATTGTATGTGGAATCAGAATGAATACAGTACCTAATTTTCTTGTTTTTTAACTTTTCATATCTGGGTCATCTACCATTATTACGTCTGCAGGAAGCAGACTATTACTACTACTGTCTATTTGGGAGGTGAAGGTTTTCACAGTGGGATGGGATGTGTGGAAACATGAGAAAAGGTTCCCCTATAGGGGGGAGGGATGACACAATTGAACAGAACACACTGTGTCCTTAAAAATGGATACAAGCGCATACACTACACATACACCATCTCAGTCCGTCCCAATTTCCTAAAGCTGAAGGTTACAATTCTCTGGTGTCCTCTTTCATTCAGCCTCAATTCTCCTCTCTCTTTCTCTCTGTCCCTCTCGTCCCTTTCATTCTCTCTCATCTCTTGTGAGATGAGGCCTTTCTCTGGCATGTGTGGCCTAATTAATGCTGATAATCATTCTTTGTTTCCCCCTTCTTCCCTCTCTCTTTCTTTCAGGGAGTGCTGATGATTCTGGGACAGAGAGTGTCGATGCACTTCAGCGACCCAAAACCACGTGCCAACGAGGACTGGCTCTGCAACAAGGTTGTGTGTGTGTGTGTGTGTGTGTTTGCACCGCTTTACATGAAATCTAAATGTGTTTTCTCATCTTACATGTTTATGAGTCATTGTCGCAGATAATTATTTTAAGAGGTCCTCTAACACGAGCTTGTGTAACATTTCAACAGTGCGGTGTGCAAAACTTTAAAAGGAGAGAAAAGTGCTTCAAATGCAGCGTTCCTAAATCAGGTAAGGTTTTAAAAATAGATACCTAATTTATCTTTTACAATCACGCAAGCTCCCTCTCACATTACAGTAATATACAATGACACGATGTCTGTCCCCAGAGGCTGAGCTGAAGTTGCCCCAGTTGCAGCGGGATTTGCCTGTTGGTCTTCAAAAGGACGGAGCACAAGGTTTGCTGCCTCTCCCAGTACCCTACCATTCTTCTGGTCCTACTGTCGCCCCAGGACAAGCTGCCCAGCAGGCGGATGTTGCAAATGACAGTAAGTCCATCTCTTGACATTTTCTAAATGTCTTGTTTAGTTTACTGAAGGACTGATTAACGTGCCCTTTTAGAAAGTACAGTGGAAACTCATAGTGATCACGTTTGTCCCAGGCCAAAATGAACTATGAGCGGTTGATTACTATAAACCAATTACATGGCTTCTATATGACCTGGAACTCTCTCTCTCAAAACCAAACACTGCCTCGAGAGAGGGCCGTGTAGCCTCACCAGTGGATGTTCCTAAATCCTACACGCTGTTTCTTTAAATCGTGGATTAAAAATCTAATAATCTCTCACCTTCTCTTTCAACAGCTCTGATACTAAGAAATCTTGGCCCTCATACTTCAGTGGAAGCCATTTTATCTGCTTTGGCTCCATTTGCCACACTGTCCCCTTCCAATATTCGCCTCATCAAGGACAAGCACACACATCTCAACAGGGGGTTTGCCTTTCTACAGCTTTCTACCATAGTGGTGAGAAAAAGATGAATTTGAGCATTGCCATTCACTCTTTAACTAAATATGTATTCAGTTTAGATTCATCAACAAAACATCCTGTCATTTGATCCTAAACATACAGTACATAGACCCAGGCAATTTGACACAAGTGCACCCGAACTCACAGCTCTCTGTATGTTGTTCACAGGAGGCATCTCAGCTGCTCCAGATCTTACAGGCTCTCCAGCCACCTCTCTCTATCGATGGCAAGGCAATTGTGGTGGAGTTTGCCAAAGGCTCCAAACGGTAACACGGAAAACACAAGCGCAGCGCTCATTATTGATATTGCACAAGGAACTATATTGATTTTTCATGTCACAAAAAAACATTGGCCATGTGAAAGAATTGGATCAGAAATGAACTAAAACTATTTTTTTTGTCTCAAAATTAAAAAGTTACTGTTATACCTGTAAGAAAATGCAGGTCACCAGCTAAACTCCCTGAAACACTCTGTTCTATACCAGTGACGTGTTCCTGACTGATGGAAGCAGAGTGAGTGCTGCTACAGTGGCCAGCACAGCTATAGCAGCTGCACAGTGGGCTGTGACACAGGTAAACTTTCTCTATGACTTATCACTACAGCAAAGAAAATGTGTCTGCACAACACATCTTTACTCTCAAGATGTGCAGTTGTTACTATATTATTATTATTATTATATCTGTGTTTTATACTGTATATATATTTGCTTAATTTTCAAAAATCCCTCTCACTGCTCAGACTGCACAGAATGGATCAAGCGGAGGCCAGAGTGTAGATACAGGAGTGTATCAGCAGGGGTCAGCAGTAACATACAATCAGGAAGGGCATGAATATTCTGGAGCAGATGGTGCAAGTTTCAAGGCCCAGGCAGATACCAGGGTTCCTGCTTTACCCAGTTTAGGAGCAGCCCTGGTGGGGACATACTCAGGAGGAGCTGCCCCAGGTAGTTATTATATACACAAAATATCACGAACATATTGACTTTATGATCTGAGTAGCAATGTAAATCGACTAAACTGAACTTTTTTGTGTGTGCTTGTTCACGTGCAGCTGCCATTTCATCTGAGGCAGTGACATTGGGATCAACAATTGTGCAGCAGGCTCTCAGTCACACACAAACGTCTCTCAGCACCACAGGAGCTGCCATATCAGCCACACAGGTTCGTTAGCGTTGCCTACTAATATTCCTCCTGTTCATTTAACCGTTACCCTCTTGCTTTATGAGCTCTGTCTCCCCACAGGTTGAAATAGTGGGAAAACCACAGCCAGCTGCCCCCAGCCAACCTGCAACCCCAGGCACTGAACATGAGCTCCAGCAATACCGTAAGGCTTCTTGTGTTGAGTCATATTATCAAGAATTAGAAACACTAATTTAACATTTTCATTAAAAACTGTAAATAGATGTAGCATTTATGATTAACTAACCCACATTTTATGATTAATTCAGTGTTTTTTAAAATTTGGCCTCTGACCTTGAGACGAATGTCCTGTGTCTTTGACTGCAGCTGTGCCAGATGTGTCAACATACCAGTACGATGAGAGCTCTGCCTACTATTACGACCCACTCACAGGCCTCTACTATGACCCTAACTCCCAGGTAAAGAGTGATGATGGCACTGTAATCTGAATGTCCAGCCTGCACTTTTTTGAATGTGTCTTCTTCCTCACATCTCAGTCTGGTTTTGGTTTTGTCTGCCTTTCCTCTTTGCAGTACTACTACAACCCTCACAGTCAGCAGTACATGTACTGGGATGGAGAGAAACACACCTACATTCCTGCTGCCAGCCAGTCAAACGCAGAGGGCGCTTCAATGAGTGAAGGCATGGCCCCGTCAGACTCACTGTTTGCTTCTCCTGGCAGCAAGGAGAAAAAAGACAAGCCCAAGAATAAAACTGCTCAACAGGTATAAATAATCTACATACTGGACACAAGAATTTACAGAAGTGTACAATAACTGACTTATTTTTATTTGTATAGTAACTTTTATGTTTGCTTTGCTCTGGGTTTTTGATTGGACATTTGTAAAACCTCTGATTATAGATAGACTACCAATACTTCCTTAGAGTATAAAAACATGACTGCAGTGGTATTTATTAAATGTGTTGTTGGTTTTCTGGTACTCGCTGAATATGACCTTGTCAAATTTTAAATCATCCTCTGTTGAATCAATTTAACTGGCTAAATTATATTTCTTGATGTTTGTCTTAATAGATTGCCAAAGATATGGAGCGCTGGGCTAAGAGTCTCAATAGACAGAAGGAGAACATGCGCTCTGTCTCCTCCTCCCCTGCGGTAGGCTCGACAGCGCTGCCTCCTGGTTACACCAGAGCACCGGGCCACAGTCGCTTAGATGACCGCCGAGAGTCTGCGAGTGCTGATGCAGGCTATGCAGTTCTGGAGAAAAAGGTGGACGATCTTTGCAAAGACATTAATGCTTAGCTGTAAACATCTGCGTGTCTTCAGGACAGCAGGGTATCATAGTGAGGGAGTGGACTTAGGTTCAGGCTCCTATAACCATCATTCTGCTCTAGTGCAAATAAGAAAAGAATGTCTGCCTTAGAAAAGGTCTTACCAACTTACCTGGTTATCCCTCTGAATTTCTGTCCTGCAGGGGGCACTGTCTGAACGGCCTCAGATATTTTTGGACCAGATCAGACAAAGTACAGAAGTAAGGACAAGCACACTGTGATGCACTTATTATGTACATTTTTTATAGTATGTCTGATTATATACTGTTCTTCAGCATACATTTATCTCTGTATCTGTCTCTTCATCAGTTCCTCACCTTGTGTCCCTCCTCTGTAGAGTTCTCCTCCTCAGCAGCAGGGTCTGGTCCCAGCGTACAGCGGAGAAACGGACAGCGATGAAGAAGGAGGCGACAAAGATGAGAAGGAGGGCAGATTGACAGACTGGGTTAAATTGGCCTGTCTGCTGTGTAGGAGACAGTTCCCCAGTAAGGAGGCCCTCATCAGGCACCAGCAGCTCTCTGAGCTCCATAAGGTGGTTACACAAACAGCTAGCCTTGAACTTCACACCACTACACACACTGCATAAATGATGGGACCATGTGTTCACTCCAGGCTGGAAAACCAGCCTGTGTACTGTGTATTTTGTTAAATATTCTCATGCATCCTTTACTGTCTGTTATCTAGAGGGTATTTCATAATGATAAAAGTGCAGCACAGTGACATTTCGCTTGTTATGATGTTTAGGTTTGACCCGTTAATCTGTCTGCCCACAGCAAAACTTGGAGCAGAGAAGAGCCCAGCAGGAAGCTGCAGGCAAAGAGGTTGGTCATCCATCACTGTCTGACAATAGTTGTTGCTAATCTGAGTTGAGTGCGGTTATTGTTAATTTAATTTTCCTTTTTTTGGTTGCAGAGAATTCCTGATGGATCTGAACCTCCTGCTCTGAAGAAGAGGAGGTTTAGCCCCATGTAAGCAGCAGTGACGTAACAAACTGACTGTGTTGATGTCTTGTAGTTGTTTCAGGTTAACAGTTGGCCTTATGTTCGCCAAAGTCCTCTTGCGCTGTTTAAATAACTGTTTACTGTAGTAACTTCATCTATATATGTTGATGTTCTTATATATAATTTCAAAATACAACAATTTTTCAGCAATGATGGATGGGAATTTATCTTATTTTGTGTGTGCTCAGATGTTGTTTGACTGTCTTTCTTTAGTGATGGGATCACAGGCACCAGTCTTGGTGCCAGGATGCTGCAGGGTGGAGTGAAAAAGGGTCTCCTATTGCGCAACATGCCCTCACCGTAAATCCTCTACATCCTGACAAGGGAACGTCCTGGACAAAAGGACAAAGCCCAGCACGCAACACTTCACCATGATCATCATATATAAGCCTTTTCATTTTGTTTTGACTCTACAGTTACCTCAACAGTGGTAATACATATGAACTGAACTGATCCTGTAGCAGTGGATGTCAGGATATTGCACAGAATGCACCTTTTTTTTTGCTTTCTTCCCGTATGATGCAGTTTTGCGTTCTCACTTGCTTCAGAGCTTGTGTCTGATTAACAAGCCTTATGTGGTTGGGAAACATTTGCTGTGGGAACGTGAAAGATCGCTGAAGATCTTTATTGGCAGCAAATTATTTTTTCTAATATTACTGTCTATGCACCATAGATTTTTTTTATTTAATGTAATATGCCTTACCATTCAGTGAATGACTGATCTGGGCATAAAGTGTACATACATTTTAGAATGAGCACTTTTATACCACGGTGGGAGCTGTGAGACTGTGGCCTCGTGAAATGGACAGGGTCACACAAACACTAGTGTGTGGGTGAAAAGTGTGTCAGTTTGTTATATCACATGTATGAATTCAAGATGTAATACATACTTATCTCTGGAGAAAATTGTTTTTCTATGTGTATTTCTTCAAACGTGTTTCATTAAGCTTATAAAAATAATTATCACTATTAATCGACGATGTCTTCTGCGGGCGAGCCAGTCAACGGTTGTATCATGTCCACATTTTAACTTTGAATTTCCAAATTGTGTTGTGTGCAAGATTTAAAAAGAGGAATATGATGCAACTCGTGTTGTTTGTGTTTCTAATGCAACATCTCGAGCTGCAGAAGTCGATGTTGCAGGGCACGTTCTTTCTTTTTTTAAATCTGAGAACTGTTTGATTCTCACGCGCGTCAACTCACCTGTGCGCTTGTTGAGTTTCCATGGCAACAAGCGTAAACACAGATCACGGTTAGCTCATTAGCTTCCCCGCAGTTAGCTTCTTGGTGGTTGTAGTTGTATTGTGAAGTCACTAAGCTGAGTTTAGTTTTAGTTGCTGCTCGCTACGGTCACATAAAGTTCTGCTAGTCTAGCTAACCCAGACGGTTGCGTTCATTATTAGCTAGCTAACGAAAACTCGCTTACGCGTGAACGGAGGATTTGTATTTTGTGAAATTAAGCCAAGTGGACCATCATGTCTGACGTGGACGAAGACACAGTCGTGTCGGATGTAGATGGAGAGGAGGAAACTCTTAAAGTGGGGAGAGAGGACGAGAAGGTAAAGTTGACTGAGCGATTAAATGAATCTCAGAAGTGAATGAATTCTCACACATTTTGTAAATGGATGGTAAAGCTGTCTGGAGGATAGACTCAAGGAAATAGATGGTTTAATGATCCTGAGGGAAATAAGGCATCCAGTAACACAAAACATTAAAACACAAGAGCTTAAGAATAACAAGAGTCACTTTAAAGCCACTCTCCATTTTACAATAACAGTGCATCAACAGGTTATTTCGCCATTCATTAAAAGAAAGACGCTTGACCTGACTTCATCCACACCACCTGCCCTCCAATGTAATAACATGGAGGAGACCTTACATCCACAGGTGTAATGTAGTCAACATTTAACCCACGACATTAAAAGAATGGGACTGTACAAACTAATCCTATAGAGTTACAGTGTGGAGACTTGAGAGACACAAGTTGAGAGAATGTTTTAACCCTCATCTGCAAGATTCTGGATTTCTTAAGATTTGACTTTTTAAAAAACTACAGGCCCCATACTTAGACACAAACATTGGGGTTTATAATTATTTGTCCAATAATTGCACAAATAATTCTTTGATATATAGATGATATTGTCCCTCTCTGTGTTCAACAGGTGCAGGTTTGCAATCTTACCCAGGAAACCATAAGTGAGGGGCTGTCGTTGCTGTGCAGAACAGGAAATGGACTTAGACATGCATTTGTCAAACTGGACTTAAAAGACAAGTATGGAGAGAAAGATATGCATGAAATAAAATTGCCTTTGGCCTGTAGTTTTAATTCATATCATCATCATATATAATTCTTCTGATTCCTTACCCCTCAGAGGACTGAATGACATAGCTGCAATTAGCAGCTTCGTTCACCTTCGTTTCCTGGATATGTCCAATAACCACCTCACTGATCTGTCCCCTCTGGCATCTCTGATCCATCTGCTGTGGCTGAAGGCAAGAAGCTCTCGTATTTGTTAGTTTGGACACTAACATCTCTGGGGCTGTCACTATCGTTCATTATGATGGATGGTAACCCCTGAATGCATCTCTTCTGCAGGTTGACAATAATGCTATTGCATGCTTCAAAGGAAATCCTTTCACTCAGTTAAGCTACCTGCAGTGGCTGAGTGTGGCTGTCAACCGGCTCACAGACCTAGACGGCCTAGTTGGACCTTCTTTAGAGAGCCTCAATCTTAAAGGTTTGGTTTTTTAGTTTGTGTTTTCAAATCTGGAAAAGTTCACTTTCATTCTTTTTTAAAATTGGGGAAGTCATAATAAGATACTGCAACTTATTAGTGGATCAGAAGGCACTTTACTCTCGTTTAGTCTTAGATGTAAAACTTTCTCTATCCCCTCAGCAAGGTATCAAATATCTAGTTCCTATAATGTATATTATTAGATGGCAATTTTGAAATCTCTTTGGCAGGTAACGGTATTAAGACAGTGAAGAGCCTTCAGCAGGGCTGTTTTGGCAACCTGGCAACTCTAGAGCTGAGAGGAAACCACCTCGAAACCACTCATGGCATTAACCTTCCAAACCTGCAACGATTATATCTGGTAATAACCCTTCCATGAATTGGTTCATGACACTAGTATGTATGTGATAACCAGAGAACTGCTGCCTGCAACCATCCTTGCTCTCTGCTCAGGCCCAAAATGTAATCAAACGTCTGGAGGGTTTGGAGAGGTTAGAGCACCTGACCACCCTTCATCTGAGAGACAACCAACTGGAATCTCTGGATGGTCTCAGCCCCAACATGAAGTGTCTTAAATACCTCAATGTCAGGTATACAGTTGAATCAGCCTGTTACAATGATATCACCAGTGACTTAGTGCATGCATTATTAATTCCGTAAAGATTATATATCACAAATATTGTTTTCTCTCTCCCCTTAGAGGCAATGCAATCTTAGATGAGAATGGCCTACGGGGCCTTGGGCTTGTGTCAAAAACCCTGCGTGCTCTGGTGATTTCTAACAACCCGCTGGTGGAAACAACAGACTCCCGAATAAGTGTGCTGCTTCTTGTTCCGCAGCTGGAGCGAATTGACAAAGATCCTGTCTCCGCTGAGGAGAGGACTGAGGCCCAGGAGAGAATGAAGGTAAAGCCGGAAAACATTTAAATTTCACATTTTGATGTGATCAATAAAAACAAAACAATCCTTTTTCCGATTTTTCTAATGGCATGTACCATTTCAGGAACTTCAAGAAGAGGAAATACCTGAACCTTGAGATTTGCAACAATAGCCTAAATGAGGAAGTGTTTGACTTCCTTGACTTTCTTGAAAAGACAGGTGGATGGGTGACTGTGAACTTGAAGTATTCTGTAAAGTATATGATGCATCATTAATAAATGTGCACATTACAATAGCTTGTGTCATGTTTTCACATATTTACAGCCAATATTTGAAAGCATATAACGTTAAAATGGATATTTCTGTTGCATCCACTGACATGTAAAAATGCAGGTAATCAGCTGAAGTTACAAATCAAGGGGTCTGTGACTAAGGAATTATAAAGAGGTTGCTATTTGAGCCTCTCCAGACAGTTCTCTTTCCCTGAGTAAGGATGAGAGGGCATATTTTGCCTCCTCTTCCCTATTGGCAGGGTTCCAGCTGCAGCTTTAAAGGGACAGTGACATGATACATGTGGAAAATCCCCAGGATCAACTATGATAATAAGAAGAGAATGCTCATTGTGTCCGATCAGAATAGTTTTTGACTCACAGTGTCATATTCAGTTGACTATGGCATTTCCACGTTTTCCACACAGCATCATCACACTGTTGCCTCATCCAGGAAGAAGACTGACAAGATCTAAACATAGTTTCTTGACTTGAATGAAGAATTGAATATCTCTGTGAGTAATTTCTGTCATTGTTTTGGCAGATAATTATATATTATTGATATTATCTGCAGATCTCCACATCGTGGGTGCATCTATTGATTTATTCATTCATCAGTTCAAATCGGCCATGCTTTTCCTCTTGATATATCGATGGTATTCTCATTTAGTTAGTTAGGCTTTATTTCAGACCTGAAGGTGCACATCAGTATACATATATTAAAAAATACAGCACAAAGATATAGAAAAACAAACATCACACATAGAGACTTTTGTTCGCGTGCTTCCAAAAGCAAGATGGATGCTTCGTGTCACTCGATGTTGTCTCAGTTAAGATTTAAAATGAGATTTAAAGTAATACTAATAATTTGAGATCACTGTCAGGAGTCAGCGATGAGGAAACACCAACTTGCACCATCTCCTCTTCCTCCAATGATTGGATTAGGTGGGAGTGGCTGTTAGAAAACCCATAAGTCCCCCTGCTCTCGTTCCCTCCTTCCTCCTCCTCCTCGGTTGTGTGTCTGCACTGGGTCGATCGCGGCGACGAAGACTCCCGACACCAGGAAGCAAATAACCGAGATCAACTTCCCAAGAAAAATCGAATCAAAATCAAATCCAGAAACAATGTCTAGCTACCACAAACCAGACGAGAAAACCCTGCAGGGGCTGAAAGACCTCGCCAACAAGCTCCGGATCCACTCCATCAACGCGACATGCGCCTCAAACTCCGGGTAAGTCATTCAAAGTAACTTGTAGCTAGTGTTATTATTGGAAACTATTAGCTTATTATTATTATTATCATTATGAAGAAATATGTGGGTTATATGGACCCTGGAGCTCGCGCGCCATTCACTTGCGCGGCCTGGCTGCACGTGCTGCAGATTACCTGCACGCAGCCGCGGCGCACGAGCTAGAGAGTGGCGTCACATGTCTCCATTGAGTCTGAATCAGTTCAATTCATGTGGGTTTACAGTGCGGGCTAAAGCTAGCGTTAGCTAACAGTCTGTGGAGGTGTGTCTCGGCGCTGAGAAGTTGAAGAAATGGCTGCCCGTCCATGTCTGGGTGTTGTAGTCTTCGCTCCACAGCGTCATTACTCGTGCTTTCTGTAGCAGTCGCTCGTGAAGTCCCCAGATGAGACAGATAATTACCACAGACCTGTTTTATTTTTTTATTTTTCACGAGCTAATGAGAAATCACATGACCACGCTGAAACTCGTGTTCAGCGTGACGTTGTAATTTACATTTGTAGCTTCGTCTTTAAAAGAGTTCAACAGATTATTCACACAGAGAGACAGACAGAGAGACAGACAGACAGAGAGACAGACAGACAGACAGACAGACAGAGAGACAGACAGACAGACAGACAGAGAGACAGACAGACAGACAGACAGACAGAGAGACAGACAGACAGACACACAGAGAGACAGACAGACAGACACACAGAGAGACACACAGACAGACAGACACTGGTCTGTCCAGGAATTGTGTGTGTCACAGAGAGGAGTAGTGTAAAGTGCACCTGTTACGTTGCTTCATCCTGGAAGTCAAGAGTTCCCTGAAGCTTTCACTTCAACCTGTTTCCTCCTCCCTGATTTAACTTTACCTCCCATTTATTGAAACATGTGAAAGTCCTGCAATCATGTGAAAATGTGTGTAATTCAACCAAAACGACAAGATAAACTATACATGGATGCACTATGTAATGAGGAGTGAAAGTGTTAAACAAAACTATTCAAGGCTTCACCAAAAAAGTCCACTGTTATTATTACTTTAATATTTTTAATGTGCCAAAACTGTCTGATTTATATTTGAAATGGTCTGATTTCTTATTTAGTCCATTTGCATGTGTTCATGTAAATGTTCTATGTGAAAAGGTTCTATGGAAACAATGTTAACATTCTTGTTATAAAAAAGTGATTTTCTAAAATGAGAAATGAACAATGTCTTTGTCTTATAATATTCTTTATCTAACTTAATCCCTAGGCATTCAAAAATAAATGACAAATGATCTCAGTGTTATTTCACTGAGGTAGGTGTCACTCTTGATTGAAAATGATATAAAGTCAGTTTCCTTGGTTTCCTTGTTGAGGTTGAAAGATTTGTTGCTTTCTGTGATTTGCAGGTTATTCTGTCTGACCTTTGACCTTCCTGGTATTGTTACCAATACCATGAGGCTTAAACACCTCAGCACAGTCAAATCTAAAACTGTTGTTTTAGATTTTTTGTTTTAGTTGTGTTATTGTCACAGAAACATTTCATATAGCATGTTTTTTAAAATGTATTTTGTATTATGTTCTTTTTTTCCTTATTTCACAGCTTTCAGAATTTGAAGCAGAGCTTGGCGAGACATAATGATCATATTTGTAGACAAGGACCACAACTTGTTTATTAACACAGGCAATCGGTCATTTTCAATTCTTCCCAATAGATGAATCAGTCAATGGATTTGTCTTTTCTTTGATAAGAATGTTACTTATATAATCACATAATCTTTTCAAACAATCTAAACTTATTGTAATTTGTTAACCAAGAATCTATCTTCCCATTTAAATAAATCATACAAACCCCCTGACCTGGTTCAATCCGTGCTTTCAATTTTCTGTTCCCTTCCCTGTGGAAAGACTCCTCATTATGTGTCGGGCCCCAGACACTGAAAACCACAGTCAGATTCCAACCTGCTCATGTGAAGAACAGAAACCGAATCACCTGACGGCTTGATTCCTGAGGGAAGAGATCACTTTTACCTTTAGTTCAAAAACAGGAACAAGGCCCTCGACCCAGCGTTTACATTCGGCATGTACTGTGTTTAAAGTTGAACAAGCACGATGTCACATGTACAGATTTCACAAATGCCCACATGACCCAACATAATATCTTCTGACTTCTTTGCTTGAACTCTTCAGATCCTACATTGTTACCTACTGATGAGGCTCATTAAAAAAGCTGATGATTTAATTGTGCAAACTTGTTACGGGCTCCTCGCAGGATCACGCGATGCTAAGTCACAGGTCGGGATGGTCAGTACCAACTGGTTGTGGAAGCGGTGAAAGTAAAACACCCCAGTCAACAGCACAATGGAAAACCCAGAACTTATCTATACATCTCGCTCCATCAGTTCCAAATCAGCAGGTGGTTAAACATGAGGGGTTTGCTGCACATTAGAAGGACACACACAAGGCAAAAAATATCACCTGCCCTCATTACAGGCCCCTCATCTGACCTACATACCACACCGCAGCCTACAGGCCTGTCTGACTGACACTGTGAACGTCCTCACAAACTCTGAACTGATTTGTATCAGTTTAGATAGATTAAAAAGTGATAAGTTTCCCTTTAAACAGTAGAACATCCCCTGACAGGCCACATTTTAATCAGTGTAACTAAGTACATTTACTGTGCTGAACCACTGGAGTTAAAGTACTTTTAAAAAATGTTACACACACATAATAGGAGAAAACTTGTGTAGATGTATACATCTCAACTGTCTACTCAATCATTGTGTCATTACACATTAATCGCACAAAGCACTCCACATAATGTATATCCATCACATAACTTGATTTTTATATTGCTATGTTTATACCTACGTTTGCTCTTTCACCTCATTCTCAGGAGCTCTGTGACATTTCAATTTCCCTACGGGGATTGATAAAGTATTTCTGATATTTGATTGTGATTCAGATTGTGACCTAATCTATAACAAAACATTAACAACACCCTCTAACTGAGCTGAGAGTATTCAAATAAACTAAATAGGTAAACTCCCAATTCTGGTACAAGAATGATAAAAATGGAATAAAGACATTTGTATCAATAATAATAAACAGAAACAGATTATGAGGTGCTTTGAGCTCTGTCATTACTTTTGCTGTTGGTGCCCATTTTTTAGTAAATATGTCTGTTTCTGCTGTAGNCAATTGCTTGTACAACATGCCAGGTACTTGAGTCATATTTGAAATAACCTGTAGTCTACATACTTACTATTACAATGTTTGATTATATCCGCACCCTTCCATGAAATCCAGCATTGTGTAGTTTGCACCTAATGACAAAACTGCAATGTCTGAGCTGAAAAAGTTTGTTGATAAACCAGTTATTGTCTCTTCCTTGTACCAGGATAAGGGTGAGTTGCCTCCTAAAGTTCAGTCCAGACTGTTGGGTTGCTGAACTTGATGTTCCTGTGCTGCTTTTTAACAAAGGATGTCTTTGAGTTTCATCACCTCACACTCATCACCTGTTGTTCCTCATTATTAGGCTGATATGTAACATTACGCTCGGAGAACCTGGCTGCCTTTGTCACAGCCTCTATGAATCAACTTGAGTTTTTCTCAGCAGGTCGTCTCTGAAGAAAAGTACAAGGGGTAAACTGAGCACTGTAACTGTGACCCTGAAATGCATTTGAATAAGATAACACTGTGTGTTCCCAGCATGGTTGAAATGTTCCCATTTGAAATCTAAGCCACACAGAGAAACAGAAATGCTGTTGGTCAATGTGGAATTTCTAAACATGTGTATTACAATACTTGTACCACTGTTGCAGCAACTTACTCTTAGTCGCCACAAGTTGTCTTTTATGTTTTTTTTTTTTTTTAAAGCTCTCAAGTTTGGTAACAGAGGTGAGGTGACATTGTTGCAAATTAACAATCTACTAGCATAACTGTTATTCCTAATGCTTTTTAGATGGGAGGCTGTTCCAAAACCGGTTTGCATCAAGCTCTCCTGGCTGACTAGAATCAGTTTTACACAAGTGTCTTTACTAAAACAAAGTACTTTGAAAATTAATTGTACTAAGTTCTCTTTCATGGCTGAAAATAAAGTGTAAGGATCCCTGAATGCACCAAAACATGCATGGAGTGGTATTTGTTTTCTTTATGCATGTTGGCATTTTAACTGTTCTCCTGTCTAAGTGGTTGTCTTTCTTCTTGTTCCCAGTCACCCGACATCATGCTGCAGTGCTGCAGAGCTCATGTCTGTGCTCTTCTTCCACACCATGCGCTACAAAGCAGATGATCCTCGCAACCAATGCAACGACCGCTTTGTGCTCTCTAAGGTTTGAATATGGAGAGATCCTTCCGTTGGTCAGTTACTTGAAGTTTTGTAATGTTGGTGTTTAAAAACAACAACTTATCTCTAGGGCCATGCTGCACCGGTCCTGTATGCTGCCTGGGCAGAGGCAGGTTTTGTGAAGGAGTCTGATCTGCTCAACCTGCGCAAGATTGACTGTGACCTGGAGGGCCACCCCACACCAGTAAGTCAAGAGTCCTGAATTCTCTTCTGGTATTCATGTTTCCTTGGAGAACAGAAAAAACTGATGCCCCAACCACCATCTATCTTTTATAACGTTTTTCCTCCCATGTTCCTGTTTCCACCAGAAACTTGCTTTTGTTGATGTGGCAACAGGCTCTCTGGGACAAGGGCTTGGCGCTGCCTGTGGGATGGCCTATACTGGCAAACACTTTGACAAATCCAGGTGAGCATGGAGCCAAATTATGGACAAGTGATGAGGTTAAAAGATTTAAACCTAATCCAGTTAAAAAAAAAAAGGAAAAAAAAGGTGTAGTTCAGTGTAAAACAGTCAGGAGAATAAATGTTATTATGGATTAAGTTCATAGTGAAGGGTAGACGTTCTCTGTGATGCAACTTGACTTCCTGAAGATGTGAAATGTCAAACACTGAGTTGTTGCTTCAACATTGATTCAATGTAAATAAATTGAGTGTAATGATTAAACTAGTTGGTCGGGACCTGCTTGGCTAAAGGGGTTCCTGATGCACCATAATCTGTTAACTGGATAAATCAGTAGTAGTGTAATTGTGTTAAGTCAGTCCATGGCAGGAGCATGTAACAGGGTCAAGAGTTGACATGCTCTGATCAGTTTTCACTGTAATTGTTGGGCTGATTTCATTAAAGTGAGTTTCATTAAATAAATACTTCCTAATTAATACATGGGGCAATTTACAGCATCATAAGAAAGGATACAGATGGATCTGTCTAGATTGTAGAAGGCAGCAGGATGCAATAATCAACTTTGCATAGTTGGAGAGTAGAAGGTTTGGATTCAATGTTTCAGCAATATTGTCATGATCCCCTTCATTGTGTTGTAGTTACCGTGTGTACTGCATGCTGGGTGATGGCGAGTGTTCTGAGGGCTCTGTGTGGGAGGCCATGGCCTTTGCCTCCTACTACAAGCTGGACAACCTGGTGGCTATCATGGATGTCAATCGTCTGGGTCAGAGTGAGGCTGCACCCCTGATGCACGACATGGAGACCTACCGCAAACGCTGTGAAGCTTTTGGGTCAGTACCAACTCCTAACTCTCCACTTTTGTCCAATATCTTCAGGAATATTCATATATGTTGGCACAAATCAACATCTGGCACTTCCGAGGTTACAGAGTCTTTTATTGTCATGTTTTTATATTTGAATAATCGGGACCTCACAAATTCTTCCAGCTGTTTGTACAGGTATAATGTTGTAATTTCACACTGTCATGGGTAGACTTCATTTGGCCACATCTTGCTGGACTTTCTCATCCCCTCTATTGAAATATTGACCTTTCTTTTATCTCTGCTCCTCTTAGCACAGTTAATGATTTTTAAGCCTAACCTGTTTGCTTAGATATGTAATACCTCCCTTTGCTTTTGGGTTAATATTTGATTTTTGATGTGTGGTATGTAGTTAAAGTTGAGCCATGTGTGTGCAGGTGGAACACGTATGTGGTGGATGGACATGATGTGGAGGAACTGTGCAAAGCTTTCTGGCAGGCTCAGCAGATCAAGGACAAACCCACTTGCATTGTTGCCAAGACCTTCAAGGGCAAAGGACTCAAAAGTAAGGAAAGAATTAATAAGGTGAATATTCATCAACGTTTTCTTCAGTTCTTTGGATGTGAGTTCTCATCTTTATCTCTTAACTGTAGATATCGAGGATCTTGATAACTGGCATGGAAAGCCCATCCCTAAGGACAGAGTCGATGACCTCCTGAAAGACTTGCGGTCTCAGATCCAGGTCCCCAACAAGACCCTTTGCCCTGAATTGCCCAATGATGACACAGCACCTGCAGACCTGAGCCTCATCTCCCTGCCCTCACCCCCAGCCTACAAAAAAGGAGACAAGGTACTTTTTCTTGCCAGCTATTGACCTTCTTTAGAATAAGAAATGTTTTAGATTTTGGTGTTACATGAGTTGCTAAAAGAATATTACCATTCATATTTCTGTTTACACATTAAAGAGCATAGTCCGATTATCACTTGCCTCATTATGTCAATTGCACTATTGCGTCCTATGTTGTTCCGCCAGTTATAAAAAGCCAACCGTGTTTGAATGTATGATGGTACAGTTTACAATTTTTTTTCTCTACTTTTTAATTTATTATATCCATCATTTTTATGCACTAATTTCTCAGTAGAGAATACTCAATGGGGTACAGCAGTATTTTAGAATAGAGCTCTCCTGTGTGCTTGTTGTGTTGAGAGCCTGACCTCACTTTGATTCAACACCTGAGACTTCCTACAAAAATAATATTTTGATGTTGTGATATTTACCTTGTTAATCTTCTTAAATTACTGGACACCCATTTCCTCTCTGTCTTGTCAGATGGCAACTAGGCGAGCATACGGTGTTGCGCTGGCCAAGATGGGCAAGGCCAGTCAGAGAGTGGTAGCTCTGGATGGGGACACCAAAAACTCCACCTTCTCCGAGACCTTCAAGAAGGCCTTCCCCGACCGCTACATCGAGTGTTTCATCGCTGAACAGAATATGGTACGTAGTAGTTTAGTCCTCCAGAGAGATTCTTTTTTTTTTTTTTTTTTTTTTTTTTTAATGCTCTTGATGTTGTTTCCTCAAATGCTTTTTTTTTTTTTCAAACATGAAACAAAGTGAATTCTGAGTTCTTGTAAATCTGCATAATGTTGAAATACAGTTGGAAGTGTTTTGTACTGAAGTCAATTTATCTGCCCTGGCTGGTCAAGTGTCATAACGGTTATGAAAGACATGTGGCTGAACTCTTAACTACAAGATCTGCTCCAAATTGGTCTAATCTGTTACTATTCATTCTCTAGTCTGATAATCCTAGCTTGTCTTTACTGCTCGTCACCTGTGACCAGTTTACTTGAGCCTCCTTCTGCTTAATCCCTTCCACTGTCATTAAAACTAACCACTTTTCGATAATAATTGCTGCTATAGGTGGGAGTGGCCATTGGCTGTGCCACCCGTGACCGCACAGTCGCATTCGCCAGCACATTTGCGGCTTTCCTGTCTAGAGCTTATGACCAGATCCGTATGGGAGCCATCTCCCAGACAAATGTCAACCTGGTAGGATCCCACTGTGGAGTCTCCATCGGTGAGTTTTTCCTCTGAGCGGTCACTTATTAGGAAGCGTTGAGCTTGCACCCCATCACTGACTAAGCTTTATCTCTTTTTTCCCTTAAGGTGAGGATGGTCCTTCCCAGATGGCTCTGGAGGACTTGGCCATGTTCCGTGCCATCCCAACATGCACTGTGTTTTACCCCAGTGATGCCGTGTCCACAGAGCGGGCTGTCGAGCTAGCAGCCAATACAAAGGTTGGTGGGTCTGACTTTAAAAAATAAAGTAGACTTGTCCAGTAAGCATTCTACACAATGGAAAAAGTGACATTATGTTGAATCGCTCTATATTCGCAGGGTATCTGTTTCATCCGTACCAGCAGACCAGATACTGCAGTCATCTACTCTCCAGATGAGAAGTTTGAAGTCGGTGTAGCCAAGGTAATGATCCCTACCATGGTTTTACACACATCAATTCTTGTTGTGGTGGATATTAGAATCAAAAGATAATGGAACGGAAGCCAGAAGAGCTGCAACATGAATAAATGTCTGTATTAAACCAGGTGGTGCGCCAGTCTGACAATGATCGGGTGACTGTAATCGGAGCTGGTGTTACTCTCCATGAGGCCCTTGCTGCTGCTGATATGTTGGCCAGCGAAGGTAAACTTATGTTGCCCTCTAGTGGCTAAACGCAGGAATTAGTCTCAAAACCACTATCTACAATTCCAGTGTTCAATTCAGGGGATCAGGTCATCAGTCACTCATTTAGCTGTTGTGGCCTAATAAAAATAACACATTGCTAATCTATTCTATTATCCTCTAGGAAAGAACATCAGAGTGATTGACCCGTTCACCATCAAGCCCCTGGATGCCTCTACCATTCTGGCTAGTGCCAGAGCCACAGGAGGACAAATCATCACTGTGGAGGACCACTACAAGGAGGGTGGGTTGTTTTTCTGTTGCGCTTTGATTTCCTGTCTGATTCTTTAGCAAGTGCCACACGTGTTTGAGGATTTGCAGGTTTTGTTTCTTGCCAAGAATATGTCAGGGGGCCATGGTTGTAATGTTAACTGGTCTAGCCCCTGGATGGTTGGATTTTAAAAATATTCATCAGAGCTTTTATACTAAGATTTTTCTCAAGCTACTTCTACCTGGGACATATTCAGAAAACCTCCATCTCTCTGGTCTTGTCTCCTGTGTGTAGGTGGTCTCGGAGAAGCAGTCCTGTCAGCTGTTGGCGCAGAGCCTGGCATCATTGTGACCCGACTGGCAGTGTCTGGTGTTCCCCGCAGTGGAAAGTGCAATGAGCTGCTGGACATCTTTGGTATCAGCGCCAAACACATCGCTAAAGCCGTCCGTCAGACCTTTGCAAACTAAGGACTCTTCCGGATCTCCCACGTGTTGCTCTGTTTACTCTACCCCAACTTCCTGGTTTTCTGCCCATCTTAAAAGCTCTCTGGCATCCATTTCTTGTGATTTCTCACTTCCTTTCTGGACCATCTTTTTCTAAGAAGCACTGTTACGGTTTGTCATAACTCTAATGTGCGAGATAACGTTTTGTTGTGTTTAGTCATAAATGCTCAGTCAAAAAGCTTGGGTCCAGATTTGTTCTTCAAAGACCCAGAGTGCAAGTCTAACTCAAAGTCTAACCAGTTTAGTAATGAACTGTCTAAGCATTCCTCTCATGGTTCCTGACCACATAGACACTGCACAGTGTTACTTGCATTTCACCTGTCATTGTGTGATTGCCGCGATGTGCTGAATTAAAAAGAATATCATGATGCATGATGTGTTTGTCCTTTAATATCTCAACACCCACTTCAGGGATTTTCAGAATATTTTGTGCAGGCATTAATGGTGGTGCAGTAGTAGTAGTAGTAGTGAAGGTCCCTGGTTCTGATTCCACTCTGACCAGGATCTTTCTGTTGGGTGTTAACCCGTGCTGACATGGGAAGAACACTCCTCTTGGTCCCACCGTCCAAAACCATGCAGATTACTAAATATGTAGGTGTGAGTGTACTAAACAAACATTGTGAACATAAGTATGTGTTGTATTAGCATATCAATGTTGCTGTTTTGCACGCAGCATCATTGTCGAAGTTCATCCAGAATGTTCCGTGCTGACATAAATTTACCATTGTGTACATGTGACTTAAATTAAGGCTTGAAATGTTAATTTCCTGTCTGACAAGATATTTCATTTTACCAGGCAGTGTTTATATTGGAGCTTTTGTTACCTCGGCCAAGGAGCTTATATATCTTCACTCCTGTCTGTTTATTTTTTGGTGGGATTGTTTATCTGTAAGCATGATTTTGATAAATCTACTCAACCTATTACCATAAAACTTGGTGGAAGGAAGGAAGGATGTGGTACTTGTGTATGCCTCAGGGAAGAATCCATCATTTTGTGTTGATGTGGATCAGGGGTGGGATAGAGATACTTTATTAATCCCTCAAGGGGAAATTCTTTTTACACTCATTTTTTACATGCATTTTAACCCCTGAAACACAACCACACACACACACAAAGGGCTCGTAGATATGCAATGTGGAGAGAGATGGTGGAGTGATCTAGTTGTACTTTATTTTTTTCACTTTAACATTGTAAGTTTTTCAAAAAATAAATTTTTCAGACATTAATTCATGGATCTTTATTAAATAAAAAAACAACTCAAGCATGTTCAGGAGACTGATTTTTGAGCATGTGTGCAGTTTGCTGCAGATCCAAATAAAAATCTGGATTGAGTGAATTTAAATGTGGCTCCTTAAGGAGACTGTTGGACTTGGTGGAAGTTTGTGCTCGACTGACTGCCATTCTAATTTCAAGCTTATTGAATTTTTTTTCTTGGCAAATCCAATTTTCCTCTTTTGATTCATAAATACTTCCCTCAATCATTTTTTTCTTGCTTACATTAAGAGCTGTGTGTCTGCATTTTACACTTGAGAACCATTCTCTGCAGTGGAATCTGTTCATCCAGAGTGTTGTCTGACTGAGGTTTCTTATGAGGTTGAATGTGGTTGGTGGGTTACTGCATGCCCATGTCAAGATTTAAATGTATGGGCTTCGGATGACATCGCTATTTACCTTGGAAGAGTACGCGGGGGCCCGAGAGTTTCAGTGTTGACTGCTAAGTTGTCCGATGTGCCATTTGGAACATGTCTGGGTTCTGCTGCCGTCTCCGTCTCATCAGCTGATCTCCAGATACAGAAATATAAAACCATGTTTCACGACCAAGATCTGATGCATAAATCTGGTCTTTATATTGATCTTGTCTTTCAGGTTGTCTGGGATATAACAGCATTCATTTACATGTCAACAGATGTAGTGCATGTATGTGTGGCAACTGAGCAAATACAGTCTGGAGGCAGGTTTCAGCCCACAGTGAAAATCCCACTTTGGCTCAACACTCAGTCAGTGGCACCTGCTTGGCTTTACACAATGTATGTATGTGTGCACAGAATGTGAAGACGGGCTCATTGTCCTTGTCCGCAGAGGTCGTGTTTGATTTCATACATACACGCTAGTGGAGCTTGGCCAAACAAGTCTGACTCCAACCTGAACTGTCTCGTGTCGTAAAAGGTCAAAGATCAATGTAGTCTGTTTAGATCCCAGTCTGATTCTGTGAGGAGAAAAACAGAAAACAGACAGCCGATCATGAATTCATCTGTCAAACTACAGGACAGCGTCCAACTAGAACCTATCGCATGTGAATGAAAGTTATTGTATTGCTGTTTTTATGTTGTTTGTCTCTTATCACCTCCACAAACCTCTGTCTTTCCACCCGGTTTTGGCAGACAGTTATGAAAGGCCGAGGAGACGAGGAGGAGCAGGGCGGGTCTGTGTATTTCATGGTGCGATGAACCAGGGCCCTTATTAACAATGTGAGGGTTTATTTTTTTTTGTATCTCTCGGCCTGCTGGATATTCCTCCCCATCCTCTCACTCTTTCTTCAGTTCACTCTGAGAGGGAACATGTGCAATATGTCACTGTGGAGAAACTTCACCACAGCTTTGACTCTGTGTTAATAATCTGAATTTCTAGGGTTTTCTGACTATTTCACTCACTACAGTTTCTTTTAGTTTCTTCAGTTTGGTTCAATTGTCGACTTTCTGTGGATTCGCTGATGATCTAAAAGCTCTGGGACGTTTTTCTCCAAAACTTGAATTGATCCAGAAATGAAGACACCAAGGATATGGATCATGGTCATTTGTGTGAGCGGCACAATTTTATCAGGACTAAGCCTGAACTCTGATGATGCTCTTATGGATGCTCACCTTGAAACCTCTTCTGAGGCACCTGATATAGAAACAGCAGCCGCTCTTCCAACAGGAACTGATACAGGTGTGACCTGGTCAGATCCACATGTTGCAAGAACAACGCTTCCTGCCGGTAAGCTGTTTTTTTTGTCTGCATGTTCTCGAAAGAAAATTCTTTTAATAACTGAACTATTTTCAAGTTATTTAGATCATACTTCCATACTTTTTGATTAATTTATGTCTCTAATTGTGCCCCTCACCCTCGGTGTCATCTTTCTGATGAAGAGAGTGAGGATGAGCATCTGAATTTGGAGGCCGAAAAGGAGATTGAGCAGCAAAGAAACGTGGAGGCTGGTAGAAGAAGGAGAGGAGCCTGGGGGAGGACCAATCATGCAGCTACAGTGGAAGCCAACGCATATAGAATAGTACGAACTGACAAACACATCTTTAAGAATGTGTTTATTTACACTGATTTACTCCTTAGATTTAAAATGTGGGTGTATTTGTATCATTATAGGCAGGAATGGGGCAACCACTGATGGGCTGGAGGAAGCGTGGAAAAGCAGAAGAGCAATCCAGTGCCCTCATGGCTGTACTGAGAGAACTTCATGCTCATAAGAAGAGGCTGATGGATCCAAAGAAAGAGAAGGAGGAGGAGGAGGAAGAGGAGGATGATGATGACGATGACGATGATGATGACGATGACGATGACGATGATGACGATGATGATGATGATGACGATGACGATGACGATGAAGAAGAAGAGGTTTCATTCTTTTTTTCTGACAAATGAGACGATTTCTTTTGTTTTCAACTTATTTAATGAGGCAATTATCCATCATGTAATTCTATCAATTTTTTGTTTCAGGAAGAGGAAGAAGAAGAGGAGGAGGAGGAGGAAGAAGAGGAAGAGGTAGAAGAAGAGGAAGAGGAGGAGGAAGAGGAAGAGGAAGAGGCCACTGAGCCACCCACCAATCAAACAGAAACCCACAGTAGCTTCACAGAGTCTCCTCTTGGCGAGTGTCAGACCACTGACATAGAAATCAGCTGCAGGGGCATCGGCATGACTCACCTGCCAATCATCCACAACCTGGAGGCCACAAAGCTGGACATGGCAGGTGTGTGTGTGTCTGTGTGTGTGTGTGTGTGTGTGTGTGTGTGTGTGTGTATGTGTGTAATGTAAATTATTAACGGAAAGCTGATGTGATTCTTTTTTCTCTGACAAAGTTCATTGACCGAAAAGTTCCAGCACAAATGTGTCACCATGACGTCTGAGTCAAGTCCTGTCCAAATACTTATCACAGCATATTACAAACTTACAGGCTACTGTGTGAACTATGGTGTGAACTACACCTTATACAATAATGTGTTATCTTGTAGAAAACAACATCAGAAGCCTCGAGCCACAGGTTTTCTCTGGCCTGTCGAAACTTGACACACTGGACCTGAGCAAAAACAAGCTGGACGATGAGTCTTTCAGTGAAAAGCCCCTGACTGTGAGTATCTCTGCTCCGCATTTCATCTGATTCATCCCACACAGCAGTGGTGACCTTAAAGAACTGTGCACCACATCTGTAAAGTTGTCTCCTGTAGGTTGAATGATGTTTGAATGTACAACTCTCTGCCACTCAAGCAGCAGCGCCCCCTGCAGCCACACATGTTCATCTGAGCAATTACTTGTTTTTTCATGTGGAAAACAAGTAAACAGTGGATATTACCCATCATCCCCGGCTTCCTGAACTAGAGGAGCCTCAGCTGTAACAAATAAACCAGACTGTTTAGAATTCCTGATCTTTTAAAAGTTTCCTTGCTGAATATTGGAGATAAATGCTGGTGTTTAATGACTTCTAAGTCTTTTTAACTGATCTATTTAATTTGGCATTACTCTTTAACAGGGATTCTCTCTTTTGCAAGTCAGTGTAGCAGCTAACTAATTTGGAAGCTGCTATTATAAGTTGCATAGTGTTGCTTTAAAATACTAAAGTGTTGCATGGTGCGATAGAATTCACAAGGGAAAAAGGAAAGAAGGAAAGAAAGAAAGAAGTTCCACACAGCGAAAATAACCTTTATTCTGTTTCTATTTTGAGCATTAAATTGAGTGTTGGGCGGAGGTGCAGTGGTTAGTCCTGTCCCCTCACAGCAAGAAGGTTCCTGGTTTGAATCCCAGTTTGACTGTGGTGTTCCTCTGTTTCTCCTAGTGTCTGTGTGGGTTTTCTCTGGTGCTGTGACATCAGACATGCAAATTGGGGTTGGGTTGATTGGAGACTGTAAATTTTGTGAATGGTTGTTTGTCTCTATGTTGGCCCTGTGATGCGCTGGCTATTATCAGCTATAGATAATGGATGGATGGATTGATTGAGTGTCAGACATGCACAAGATGTTAAAGTGTGGCAGTAATGTTCAATTGTTTTAGCTTTGCAGTGTTACTGCATGTGTAAAAGTAAAAGTGTTTATTGTCATATGTAGAGTCCCTGTACAATGAAACTCTTTTTTTGCCTTCCAATAGTAATACCATGTTTTTTAAAGTTTTAAGAGTTAAAAAACATATATCAAAGTAGTAAAAATATACAAATATACATTGTACAGTAAAGCATGAGTGCAATGTAGTGCAATAGACAGTAATGCAGATTTATGGTCTTATTGAGTCGGTGCAAAACCCAAACAGGGCATTTGCAGCTGCTTTTATTGTATTTTATTTTTATAGGTGGTAAACACATATAGAACTGATCTGATATTGACATAAAAAAACTCCTTCTTGTGGGGGTCATGGGATTCTGCAGCCTGCTACATGTGAAATGAGTGAACTTGTGAGTTATAAGACAGTTTTACAAGCTAGTTTGCATCTAATTAAAATAAAAGTTAGGCTGCTTCCTGTATCATTACGGTAATAAAAGAGCACTGAAAATTGCATTAACTAATCCTCTCTAAGAATAACCCCTGGTCTAACCTCCAAATGACACAGATCCTGACCACACGGAGGCAGCCCGCCACACTCTGACCAATCATTACACACCACCATTGACATCCTCTCACGGTATTGGCTGAGACAAACCTGTTGGAAAACAGCTGCAGCCAATGATGTAGAGAATAAAAGGAAATTATTTTTAGGGATTTCTTCTTTTTTTCTTTTTTTTGGAGAAAATTTTCTCCTTGCATCCCGGTAATGACAGAGGACCGATGGCCTGGCTAGAAGGATCCTGCAAAAGATGCCGTCCACTGCTTTTACTTGACACACACACCGACCGCAGCAGCTTTCACTGAGGAGCCACACTGAGCAGCTTTACCAAAAATACAACATGATAGATGACATGGAGGAGATGCACGGGTCTGACATTCTCTCATTTGGTGTATTTCTGTCAGCTGTGATTGTGTCCTGCTTGGCGAGAGGGATGTGAAATTATGGATTTTCAAAAGAAGTGTCCGTTTTTGTCTGTTTAATCTCCCTGACCTCTTTTTTCTTTTCTTTTTTTTTGCTGCGTGTCATGTAGAACTTGACCTTTCTGAAAAAACTTAACCTGGATGGCAACCAGCTCACCAGGATCCCACCACTGCCGCCGTCTCTCACGGAGCTCAAGATGAACAGCAACAAGCTCACTGCACTCACACCTGACTGTTTCAAAGGTAGGAGTCGAGTGCAGGACTGACAAATAAAAGGCTTCTCTCAAAATTGTGCTTATGATTTATTACTCCCCTCTGGCCCTGACACAGTCAGTACCCACACCGTGAAGCAACTGGGTTCTCTTTCCCAAAACATTGGCTACAATCGTAAAAATCTTGGTGTCACCTTTAACAATGACCTCACCTTAAATAATCGTCAACACAGTCAACAGAGTTTTCTGCTGCTCAGGAAACGTTCAAAGATCGTCGGGTTTTAACGAGAAGAAACCTAGAGATGTCATTCATCTTTTTATTGCCTCTTGTTTGGATTATTGCAATTCTCTGTTCACCTGCCGGAGCCGACAGATTCCACATGAATTACAGCTTGTCCAAAACACAGCAGCCAGACTCCTCATTAAATCTGCTAGCAGAGAGCATATTACTGATTTTAGCTTTTCTTCATTGGCTTCCAGTCAATTTTAGGATTGGTTTTATTATTTATTTAGTTAAAGGCCCATTCCAGACTCACATTTAAGCACATTTTGTCTCTTTTGACACCATGTTTAAATTGTTTCCTATTGTTTGCCTTCAGTTTTTCATTTTTAACTTGGAAAGCACCTCGTTTTTTAAATAATGTTTTTTATTTTAAATCCAGGTCTGAGGAACCTGTTGAGTCTGGAGCTGGAGGAAAATATTCTTCATGACGGCAGTGTGTCACCGCTCGCCTTCAGACCTCTAAAGAAGCTCCTGAGTCTCCAGTTGGACAACAACCGCTTTCGTTCGCTCCCTCTGGGCCTTCCTCGCTCTCTTCAGGTGCACTCATATAACTTTACCGAACCGAATCCTCCTCCATTATACGTGAGAATCTCCTGCAGGAGCCGGCTGGGATTCAGAATTATACTTAAAACCAGGTACTGACACAAGGATGAGAGTAGTTTCACCATCTTTCTTTTTTCCTTCATCCAGGAGTTGGATATGAATGGAAACCAGATTGTTGAGGTGTCAGAGGAGCCACTGAGAGGCTGTGTCCATCTGAAAGTGCTGGACCTGAGTCACAACCTGCTGCATGAGCAACGGATTGGTAACAGCGCCTGGATCCATGTCAAGTATGTCAGTCCACCACCCCACCCACCCACCCACTCATTCATCCATCCATCCATCCATCCATTTAAATGCAGTCCCTCTGTCAGCCACAAGAGGGGGGACTGGTTTTTTCTCGGAGTCTGGAGCCTTTTGTTGAGTTTTGATTTTTGTGGCACTTCAAATAACACATTTCTGTCAAAAGATGATCCATCTCCAAAGAGAGCCGTTTCCAATTCCTCTCATTTCAGTAGTAACTCATAGTAACTATCAGTATCAGAGACTGACACATGTAATTCATAAAAACACTCACATTATCCACATCAGTACTTTTTTATCTCCTTTAACATGTTTAGGTATCAATCTGTCACACATTCTTCATCTTCTTCATCTTCTCCTCCTTCCATCTCTCTCACACATGTAGATGTTATGACCTTGTCAGCTTAGACGAGCAGACATGTGAGGGAGAGCTCGGGGGCAATGTTGTGCCTGCATACATACGTGTGTCTGTATTTCTGTGTTTGTCTCAATGTGTCTAGATGGTGTCTGTGTGTGTGTGTGTGTGTGTGTGTGTGTGTGTAATGTTTAAATATAGTGAATTCCAGTGGGTTTTTCTTTGCTCCCTCGGATCCTTGTGCACCACAGTTTGAGATTCAGGGAAAACTGAGTAGAAGAAAATGCAGGAAGAGAGAGAATGTAAGACAGGATGGAGAAATAGCTTAATGTTATAAAATGAATGAAGGATTTGCCACAGGAAGAAGTGTAGAAATCTAAAGCTGAGTAAATGTATTCAGGCAAAATCTGACTGAAGAAATGATGACATGTTGTCATCTCAGAGGGAAGATAAAAAACCTCAGGGACGGAGAAGAGACGGCTCTGTCCCCCTCAGTCAACTCCACATTTGACTTCTGACTCAAGTGTATTTGACGCCTGACACTTGACCTCATTAGTGGTGAGAGTGGCAGCTTTCCCATTGGGCTTATTAGACTCCTTCCTTTAAAAGCTGCCCTCAGCGCTGCAAAGAAAACTGAACAAACTGTACTTGACCCGTTCTCCACTAACACTGCAGGAGAGGACACCTGAGAGGGCAAAGGTCAGGTAATTGGATTATATGCTGTTCTGCACATGACGATTAAACCCATGTTGAATTTTGCGGAGAAATGAAATCCTCATGTTGCTCTGCAGAGGTGTGTGGAAAAACAGACAGAAAGGGAATGAAAAGAGGGAGCGACAGAATGAAAAGTAAATTGTCTGAAGAAAAATAATAAACTGCAGTGTGCTGGTTCTGGTTAGTGGAGCGCCTCTGTTCCCTGTCATGAAGTCAGTGTTATTGTTGCCTCTTGCTGGGCTGCAGGGATCGGAGGTACGAGTGGAGGATACACTGGAGGTTACAGGGATCTGGGGAGAGCAGCTTGGACCCTGGATCTGTCTCATGCAGCACCTCACCTCATTATAACTGCATGTAAACTGTGATCACTTTGTGTATTACAGCCTCATAGTTCAGCTAAAATATGTCTATTTTCTGGTTTCCAGTAGCCATGTTTTTGTACCCAGAACATTATGTTTTCAGGTCGTCCGGCCATCTGTCCCATTCTTGTGAACCCAATAATCTCAAAAACTCCTTGAGGACATTTTTTCAAATTTTCTACAAATGTTCACTTGGCCCCATGGAAGAACTCATTAGATTTGTGTGGTTACAGGTCATGATGGTCTCAAAAAACATGTTTCTCGCATCTTGATATGCCAAGTCTGCCTTTAGGGAATTTTTTCAAATTTTGACCAGTTTTCACTTGGACTGAAAGATTAACTGATTAGATTTCGGTTGGTCACGGTGACCTCATCTGGAAAGATGTATGATGATGAGGGCATACAACCACAGTGTTTAATGCATGTACTTTCAAAAATACTTGAGGATAACACTCACGTACTTTTACACTTTTTACTAAAGGCCCTGAGTACTTCTCTCACCTCTATTAATATTTGTGCATCCCTGTGCATGTGTCTAGTAGATGATTGTAAGGGAATCCACATCTGCAGTAGCATGATTTTGCACCAAGAGCCAACATGTCTTTCTTTCATTGTCAAACACACACACACACACACACACACACACACACACACACAGACACACACACACACACACACACACACACTTCCCATCTTTTTATGAAGCTGTCAGCTCAAATATCTGTTAAATTTCTCTGCATTTGCTCAAAATTGAATCATGATCACATCATTGCTGCCAGCCCCCAGAACCACATGTTTCAAGTTACTTTCACTGATGAAAGCAACATAAACAATTGCATAGTCAGTCATCCCAAATGTCCATAATAATAATATTTTGCGGGTTATATGTTTTCAATTAGTTTTGATTTGACATTTTTATTGGAAAGTGTGATCTGGCTTATACTTTGCGTGTTATACAATTTAACATGTGTCAATAACTAAAAAAAAGAAAACAGTAAAACTGTGGTGGCTGAATTAATTGACAATTGACACAGAAACTGTCTTAATTTGTTTGACTTTATGTTTAAACGGAAAGTGATTACATGCTGATTGAATTTTATATAGAAATATATTCCTTAAATTTTCATCCATGCCATTTTGACTGAGAGGCAGTTGTTGAAAAGGATCTGTGGTTAGATTTAGCATCGCTGCAGGCTCACACTGACTGCATGGAGGCACAGGTTCACTTATCACATCAAAGCTCTGTTGCGTCATGACGTGTCGGAGCCTGACAGGACATGTAATGAAAGCTCTTTTATCTTCAGATCACCACAAATTGGTTTTTGCAATAAGCTAACGTGGCATAACAAGCACACATGCACACGCCACCACCACACAAAGATGAAGCAACACACACATGTGAAAACCTCTTGGTAATTCAGTTAACATTTAAATGTGACATTGATTTATGTGCACTAGACATAGAAGTAAACTCACAGTGGGCGAACACCATTCACTAAGTACAGCCACAGTCATATTCAGTGTACAAATGAATCCAAATGTGCTTCAGTCTGTATTAAACAGATGTGACGGCCAAAAATACCACACATCAATCTATGTTAATACATTCAGTGTGCACAGAAGCTTGCACCATAATGACACAATATAGCTAAACCCTTACTCTGCCATCATCCATCCATCAAACCATTATTTAAATCAAGTCTTGGTCTGTGCACCCGGCTTGGCGCAGCTGCTCCGCCTGGCTACACCACCTATCCTGGTTTGGTTCCCAAAGTGTGTATAATCCCTGTGAGCTGGTTCCTGTTAGAACCCAACATCCTTAGGATAAGCAGAGCAGTTTGATTACTCCTGGCTTTGCACTTAAACATGGACACACACACAAATTCATGCACGCAATAAACTTTGGATTTTGTGTGATAGCTTTTTTGCTTCGCTATGAATATTTCAGAGATGAACTTATAAATGAACCCTGGAAATAGATTGTGTCGAGGCTTGTTTGTTAGTTTGATATTCACACATCATCTAATTGTCATAACATGTTCCGTGTGTGTGTGTGAGAGTGAGTGAGACAGTGGGTGGGGGTGTAGAGGGTGGGGTCCTCTGAGAGGAGAGGACTGTGTGTCCCTCATTAATACCTCATCATTACCATGTGGAGCTCTGAGCGGACTGCCTCTGAGCTTCCTGGCAAAGAAGGGGAGCACAAATCAACACCAGCCAACCAGCACGGAGGACGGATCAAGTGATATATGTTGGGGTTTAAATTTTCAAGCAGAAACACATTTTTCACAGGAATCCATAACTGCCACAAAATGTGTAAGTTACACAAAAGGCCTGCTGTGCAGTGAGTGAGTGTTGGCTCAAGTGTATTTTGAGTTCAATCCGCCGTTGTGCTCTTTCCCCTGTGTCTCCACCCGGGATGTTTTATGTTGAGGTGATGTTTTATTACACCGCCGTCAAGCAGAGAGGTAACTAACCTCCACACTGGACCTTGTTCACTGTAACTGAGGGAGGAACGACCAATGCAAACCATGACCTTTCCTGCAACACAGACCAATTATCTGAAATTAATTCATACACACACAGAAAAATAAAGGTGCTACCTGGAACCAAAAAAGGTTGTTTGAAATGATGCTAACCTTTTAGCCAGAGGTTGTTTAAAGAACCATTTCTGCATACAGTTGTATAAGGAACCCCCAAGCATGTGTCAAATAACCATTTGATGGTTCATGAAGGGTGCCCTGAAGAACATCAGCAAAAATTGGTTCTTTGTTGGACCCTTTGTTTGTTCAGTGAAATGAAATCAACTGTTCTTCATTGTCATTCAAAATGTCATGGGTATGGTTGAAAAACAAGTCCATGGACTGAATAGTTTGCATGGCCCTGAATTAAATGTTGGTATAATAATATTTTGGTCAATTCAGGGATTGTAATTCCTTGGCATCGTTGTACATCCTCTTATGGGGTAAAAACAGCAGTGCATCCTGGGCATTGCAAAGTTCAAGGGTTGAGAGTTAATGCAGAGGTCTTACCGTAAGACACTTAGCGGCAGAAATGCTGAGGCACTGAACGTCAGTCAGTCACATGCCAGTGTAAGCGTCTGTGATCCTCCACTCTTGATTTCACTCCACTGCGTGGTCGTTGGCTGGCCTCCTGACGATGCTCTGAGTTCATTGGCTGTTGGGTCTGGTCTGTGAAAAGGTGGAAAGAACAGGAAATGAGGTCCATCTCCTGCTGTGAGCTGTACCGCAAACTCACAACAGCTGTGTCTTCCAATGAGAACACTGAAGCTCTGTGCTGCATCTCTGCCCCAGACCACTGAGATCTGCTCCTCTCTCCATGAGTGTTCAGTCTTATTCGCACTAACTAAACATTTGCATACCCTTTACCAGGCCCCATTATGTTCTCCCCCACTGCTCCCCATGTCTTCCACGTGTCTTAGACTCCCACTATGCACTCCTGCCTCCATCCCTTACTGACAGTAAGAGGTCTTCTCGTACTTCTCTGAGAATCATGATTATTCAGTGTGTTTTTTCTCCTCAGGTCCCTGGAAACCTTGGACCTGTCCTACAACCAGTTCACCTCTGTCCCTATGAATCTGCCTCGTCCTCTCCACAAACTGAACGTCCAACACAACGACATCAGGCACATCCCCACCTTTGCATTCCGCCACCTGCGGCCCGGGCTACGATCCCTCCAGTTATCCCACAATGTATTGAGCAACGAGGGTATTGAGCAACTGTCCTTTGTTGGAACCTACCGCTCCCTGGGTGAGCTCCTGTTGGACAACAATCACCTGCAGGAAGTCCCTCACTGTGTGCGGCGGTTTAAGAACCTGCAGGTGCTCAGACTGGACAACAACCAGATCAGGTAGAATCACAACTACTGTCAATTTAGTGTTAAGGACTGAAGTGAAATTTTGTCCTTTAGCTCTGCAAGTGAGGCTCCCTTTGGAAATGATTCTAAGCAAATTCTAGCATATTCATCACACATAATGGTAAACAAAGCAGCAATTACGATGTCCATGACCTTGAGTTTGTTATTGTGGTCAGCAGCCCAACTCGATGCGTGTACTTCAAACAAAAAACTTGGCCAACATCCGTCAGCACACCACTGCAGAGAAGTGACCTAAGAACCGCTCTGAAAGTCTTGTCTCATTCCTGTTTCAAAGACCCAGTGATTATTTTAAAAAGTAGAATCACCCTTTGTTTTCTTTGGAAAGACAACCTGGAATCCCTGTATCATGTACATATTTCAGAGCTGTAACTTCACTGAAAGAATAAAGAAGAAGAGTCGTTCAAAGAAACAAACTGTTTTCAGACATGACCCAATTTTCCAGACATTTTCCGCTTGCCTTTCAAGTGTGACAAGTGGAGACATGGGATTTGGATGTTTTATTCTTTGTCAACTACTTTTTGCAAATAATTTGCACCTAATCATTTAACTTTCAGGTCTTACATCTGGTTGACTATGTGAATTTAAAAGAACTATACAGAAGTAGCTCCTATAGGGTACAAGTGTCCATTAGATATATAGAATTNCATACTTTATATTTACACACTTTATATTTACATACTTTATATTTAAATAGTTTTTACATCAGGAGCAGCTCTTCTCTACAGAGGCAGCCATGTTTCCAATACTATTGCTGTCTTCATATTCTTTCTCTATCTCTTTTCATGTATTTTCAATCAGAAGATTTAATTTTCAGGTCTTACATCTGGTTGACTATGTGAATTTAAAAGAACTATACAGAAGTAGCTCCTATAGGGTACAAGTGTCCATTAGATATATAGAATTCAGTATGACTTATATCTAAATTCAAGTGTTTGTGTGTTGTGCTCCCAGGCAGGTGAAGCGGTGGGGAGTGTGCCATCCTCATAACTCCGGCTCGACCTTGGCTTCGGTCCACTTGGAAAATAATCCACTGGAAATGGAGAAGATTCCACCAAATACCTTCTCCTGTCTGATTCAGGGCCAGGGACTGGTCCTGTAGCTGCAGCAGGAGCACACATCTGACCACCAGACCACACAGATACACAAACTAAAAATAAATACATGCATTATCATCAGGGTTTTCGGTCCTTTCCCTCCACTGCTCCTCTCATTATAATCGTTCTAAAATCAGGAGCTATTTGCAGAAAAATCATGTAGTTTGCTTAGTCAGCAAGAACTCCTTTCATTTTACCAACACCAAACCCATCTTTTTCTCTCGCTTCTCATCTGTGATTATGGAAATAACTGTAATGTTTTGCTCCATATTAAAACCAATGTGTAATTTACACAGTCATTTAACTGATTATGTAAAATTGTCTCGGTTGTATAAAAGGGATAATAGATTACAGTGGAATCTGGATCCGCTCAAAACACAGGTTTGACTCTGTTTTCATTCTCTTTATTAAAGTGTGTGATACTTGAATATGTTGACGGAGGAGGATTAGGCCATGTCTCCAGTCTGAGTCTGCAGCAGGAAGAGCCTCTGTATCAAAGGGGGTGTTTGGATGTGACATGGGAAATGTTGGGACTGCGGCGTGGGGGTCCCGACGAGAGCGAGAAAATATCTGGTGACACAGTGTGATCCCGGGGAGCCCATTAGAAAGGAAAACATAAACATTGTGCAGGTTCTCTATCACCCAATGGGCTTCAACATAAACATCTACAAACAGCCGCTCGGGAAAAACACATAAGGTCACTGTGACTGTGAGCAAGGCCAAGTCAGAGCCTCCACACATGCACAGATGACGTCATTCACTTAGTGAGAGTGTGTGCAGTAATTGGGACCTATGTATGTATGTATATGTGCATGGGAGTAGTGGGGCAGCACATTACTGGGGTCAGCTGTAGGGGAGTCAGGGGAAAAAAGCTGACAAACCTGTTGGGGCAGGGTGGAGCTGTAGGGGACAAACAACACGCAGAATTTTAAGTCACAATACTGCGATTGTTCTCAGAAAGCATCAGCGAAAGATGATCTAGTTGAGTTGGATGTGGTTGGAAGACAGAGAGGGAAGGAGATTTAAAACAGAGAAGGTGAAGGCAGAGAGCGGAGCACATTCAGAGCTGGGGTCCCCCCCCCATTTTGGCACAAGAGCCACTGGAGCTCTGGTGCCCTGCCAACCTCGTTAACCAAGCCACTTCCCAGATCTCAATGTTCTCTCTCTGTGCATCTATTGCCAATACTGTATCTCAATGTCCATCTTTCTTGCTGTTTGTCCCTTGCCTCATGGTTTCTGTTTCCTCCTACATGGAAACAACACACAGTTCTTTAGTCTCAACAAGTCTATGATCTTGGAGCCTCTAGAGATGCTCTGAGCTCAGTGATCAGTTGAAAACCTGTTGCACTCTCTGGTGTTGATTTCTGAAACCACTCTCCATTAAACTCTTTCGTTTTTATTCCTCTCATCCCTGCGTTAACATCAATAATTCAGCTGAAGGCCCTGAAGTGAACTTGACAAGTAGACAACTTGATTAAACTGCCTTCCCGCAATTCATGCCGCATCAAAAATGATACGTGTACTCACAGTCTCCACGCAGAGACAAAAAAAAGAATAACAAACAATATTTTTGGTGAGCCTCTTTAATTTGTGAACCCAGCCGTGCAAAGACACAACACACTTTGCAGTATATCACTCAGAGCAATTAAAATGATCAAATGTTGAGTCGCATTGACTGGATGAAGTCGTAATTTGCAGCCCGTGCACTTGCCGTGTTCTCAAGCTCCAGGTATAAGGTTTCAACAGAGAGCTGTGTTTGTGCGGCTCTAAATGAAGAACAGAAGGTCCCCTGCAGACATGTGGTTGCAAACACACTCAGAGAGAGGAACGGAGGGAGGAGGGCTGAGGCCGAGCGAGATAGAAAACGAGTAACAATGGAGCTGGTGTATTGAAAGGCCGGTAGCTGACACAGTTATTGAGAACACAGTGAGTGCATGGTCTGAATATGTAGCATGAACAGACGCACACAAATGTATTTATACTTTTCACTCTCTCTGTCTGGGCGTGTAATCACATGTTGGATTTCTGCTCTCCGTCCTGTGCATGTGGTGCAGTCTTCCTTCTCCATAATTGTACAGTCATTTTGCAAACAGCACATTACTGTCTAAGAAACTACTCTTTCGTATTTATACTGCAGCTGCTGCACGTACAAGAAGAGCACAAACTTCGCCCAAAATAGGATCAAATTGCATCAGCTCTTTTTTATTTTTGCATAATCCCATCTTTGTATTGTTGCACGAATGGATTCTTTTGAAATGATCTTGTATCTCTCAAGAAAAATTCCTCCGTGGCCAGTCACAACAGGTTTGCCACTTCTATGCCATCCATCACCCTGCGTGTGATATGATCAAGTGGTAAACCTGCATCCTGTCGAGCTGAGGCCGGAGTCTGCTTGTGAGGGGACTATAGAGCAGTGCAGTGCTTCTCTTCTCTCATGCACTGTTCTGTTCTACCCGGCGACAGCAGCTTCCTGTGTTTGTTATTGGAGGATGGGGGGGGAAGTGCTGGCTGATAAAATAAAATGCACCAGAACACACACAGAGAAAAACAGGCAAAGAATTCCTTTCCTGATGAGATAAAGCCAGGCGAGGATGAAGAGGACGACTGTGAGGAGAGTGAGGACAGTTTCTTTGCTAGAACATGAGAATGGGTTCCATTCTGAAGGATCAACTATTCTGGATCATGATGAGCTCATATTTGATGATAAGCAACATTTATGAGCATGGAATTGTGGGGGGTTTCAATCAATTTATGCACGAGCGAGGTCTTCCAGTTTGAGAGTGGGATCTATTGATTTCATGTTTAGACTTTGTAATGCTCTCACCACAAACCCTGCGCTTGCACTCAAATAGCTTAGATTTGCTCTGCTTGTACTCAAATGTGTGGTTACACTGAGATATTTTGCATCTTAGAAAGATTTCCTTCACTCCAGCTTCTGCTCTTCACTTCAGAGCTTGAGCTCTTCTCCCCGTGCTCATGCTACTTGTGTGCATTAGTGACATCTCTGCTTTTCGTCAATATTCTCCAACCATAGAATGAAATGGACACTCCCTTCTTGTATTTGTGTGTTAGCTTTACTTCTTGGAGACTCCCATAGGAGTAGGTACTTTAACCAGGCACCCCCCACCCCACTGCAATCCAAATGCAGAAGAAAAGGATTGAAGAGCAGAGGAGAAATATAGCGGAGATGTTTCACAAGCACACAGAAGCAGCATAAGCACAAAGAGAAGGAGAGTACAGGAAATCGGTCTAAGCTAAATATCTGAGTGCAAGCGCACAGTGTGAGCACAAGCTGGGCACATTTAAGTACAAGCGCTGGGTTTTGTGCGAAACCAATAGAATCTGAAGATGAAAATTAGTTCTGCTCTTGAACTAAAAGACCACACTCTTGAATAAAGATATGAAAAAGAAAACTCAATTTGAAATAAACTTTAAGTTTGGAATAGAAAAATTAACAAATAAAAACACCCCCCAAAAACAGTTTAGTCAATATTATTCTTGGTTCTCCTGCACACAAAGGCACATGCACGCAAGGCAGCACCTACGCAAGAGCTAACGAGTGGGTGTGCTAATCTCTGGAGACACTTAATTTGAAAACACTCGTAGGACAAAAAAGTTTAATTTGGATGCCAAGCCCTGGAGCTCCAGACCAACACCATAATCAACTGAACCACAGTGAGGGAGCAAGAGAACGACAGAGAGGACGATAGAGAGAGTGTGAGATGGGGAGAGAGAGAGAGAATGAAAGGGTGAGAAACAAAGAGTAACACTCAATCTACAAGGCAGGAGAAAGAGGGGAAGCTTAGAAAGGAGGAATGCTATCTACAGCGTTATCAAAATAGTATCCCTGGCCAACACTCCAGGGCACTGATCTGGTCTGCATGCCTCTTCTACCACTGTGCACACTGCACCCAAAGTGAAATGTCAGTTCCTAAACTGACTGTGAGTCTCATCATCCACCTGATGGGGAACAGTTTTCAGGATTTGAATGCACCGCAGTCCTACTTCTGCAAAGCTCAGGGATAATAGACGACTGTGTTTGTGAGTCTGCATTGGATCAGAAAGGTTCCCAGATGGTTGTGGCTCGCCAAACTTATTGCCTTGCTCTGGGAGCTGGCAACACTGTGAGGAAATCAGAGAGTCGGTGAGGAGGAACACTTGATCTACGCCAAAACAAAATTTAATAGAGAACTAGGCGAAGACACAAAATCATACGTTTTATAATCACAGTCCTTGAAATACATTTGCTTCATGATTTCTTGGTGGAGCTTGATAATATCACCATGTACTCTCCCAGTAGTCTACTAATCAGAGACAAATGTGAAACTCTGGGTTATGCAAGCAAAGAGTGGTTGAAAAAAATAAATACGACTCAGCAAACATCCTTTACACTGAACAAGATGAAAAAAACTCTGACAGAGAGGCTTTTATTGAGAAAATCTTCCTACAAGTTTGACCTTAGAGTTTTTTTATATACAGAACAACAGTGATAGAAAAAAGTAAATGTAAAAATGTAAAATAAATATATGCCATCAATACTTTTATAAAAATAGAACTATGTCAGTATATATTTCACCTCCATAACCTCTCTGAAGAAAAGATGTTTTAATTTGAACGGAAACTGATTTTAGCAATATTTCACTATCAGAGCCACATTGGTTTCCCCTCACGATGCTACTGTATTCAACTGCAGTGGAGTCGCTCTGAACTGTTTCAGATGATTCCATGTCTTTATGATGTCTTTATCTAAATTGTCTTTGAGAGCATTTAAACGTGCAAATTACAGACCTCAGACATAAAGTTTAAATAACGTGCATGATCTCTTTTATCTTCACTGAGAACCAAAACTGTGATGGGAATAAATTACCCCGTAATATAATGAAATCAGCTCACCACAAATATACTTGTGCACCACGATGTCCTCTCATTTCACACGCTCAGAATAGAGGTATATTACATTTTATGGCAAATATTTTGAGGAATTCATTTTTTGTTTGTTCACCCCCCTGCGCCTTAAGATAACGTAATATGTTAAATGATCTTACTTTGTCACTCCTATAATATTGTTGAGTTTTCTATGACATGTGCATATTGTCTTTGTGTAATTATCACCAGAAAACTGCTAATATCTTAATTATAAAACAACCAGTCTAGGGACTATAACAGCACAGATGCGCTCAGGCTGCTCCCTCCTCCTCCCACCTCTTTCCTCTCTACCCAAAAAAAGGGGGCGAGAGGGAGAGGAGGCAGGCTTGTTAACTTTATGGGCTTGACCCCCCCAGCTCCTAGTCATTTCCTCGGGTTGGGCCGGAGCGCACACACAGCTGCCTGACACGCTTCTCTGTGGCACACGGTGGCGACTGGACGTCAGAGGAGCTCAGGGGAAATACTGCAGTCATCCCTAAATGTGATGAACAGATAGGACAACATTTCTTTTTTTTAATCTCCAGGATAATTGAGGGAGAAAACACTCTTCAACCACTTTGGAATTAATTTATCTGTTTTTTCTATCCAAAAGGTAGGGGAGTTTATATATGAATTTTTTTATCGTCTGTAATATAATCGTACTCTTTAAGGCTGATTTGACTTGAGAAAATTACAAATTTTAGGCCAATGGGGAAAATTGTTGTGGTAAAGTTAATGTGCTCTCTATAAACTCTCATTTTACTGGAATTTTGTAGTGAAATAAAACAAATTCAGAACAAAGGTTGCCACAGCTTTTTTTTTTTAAATTTTCTATAATTTGCTATATAGGCTCTCTCCACATTTTTTTGTACTTTGCTTAGATATATGTTGTCAACCTTTGTGTTTCAATTTGAATTGTGATGTTATTTTCATATAGTATGTACCGAAATACTCATATCTATGATGAATGTCCCTCCTGTATTACAAAACCTCATCCATATAATCTTTCTCACTGACACAACCTGCTCCATCAGCTCCATGGCCCTTGTGATGCAGAGGGACATGGCAGCTCTTACTGCAGACTGACACTAGATGGCGCCCAAAGTCCCAAATCATTAGAGGATGAGATAACGATCAAATCCAACTTTACTTTGCTCTCAGTGTATCCAGCCACCAGTGCGACGGTTTATTCTCCCAGCAGCCTCTATAGATGTGACTCTTAGCATTTATAGAGCAGCCGTTTTACGTCCGTCCCTATGTTCCTCATGATTTAGGCAGAATAATTATAGTGAAACGTGCCAATCAACCCATTCTGGTACACAGCAGGTCTGCTCTGCCCTCAGTCAGCCATCTGTGTACACAGGCTGCATATCGAAATGTGTTGAGAGAACTGTGGCCTGGGAAACTTTATCTGAGAGGAAGATTATTATCATTTGTCTCACTATCTTTTATTTTCTCCCATTATATGATACAGACAGTATACTGTCCTTCAGTTCTGTGGCCCCTTTGTATCCTGTGCTGCTGACTTCCTCCATGTTTAATTAGCCTGTTATAACAGTGTGTTTAACTTGTTTATTAAATTTATTTGCTTTTTGATTTTTTATGATCTGCTTGTTTTGAAGTTGTCGTGGTCATTTTGAAAAGTGCTGGATAAATAAAGGTTCTTATTACCGTGCAGAGACAGAGCAAACATTGTCAGTCTGACTGTGGAGTCCGTGGTCAGACAGTCAAAATGATGGTTTCAATCTGTCTGTTTCCTGACCTTCCAGCCTGACTGCCTATTAGCCAGCGGGTGGGTTGCCCACCTTACACCTGCTCCTCGCTGCTTGTCTTTCCATCATCCATACGTCTCAACATCCATCCACATGTCTTACTCAACATTTATTTTCATTCTCTCTCTCTCTGTCTAACTTCAAGCTTGCAGTTCCCCTGTCTTCCTCTCTGTATACCCCCCACTGATCAGGGCTAAATTGATCCTATGTCTTTGGTGGACTTTTTGTAATTGGTAAATAAGTGCTCTTTTGCCATATTCTGAGAGCAGAATTTGCTGATTGTTCCTTTTCGGCTTTTTCAAACAGCAGCCCATTGTTTATAGTCTCTATTCATAGCCCACTTAGAACTGGCTCAGACTGTGGAATTCTTCACATACTGTGCATGAGGCTCATTTGCCCACAGGCATGGGTGCTCAGGTCAGCTGTCCCCCCTGCTGTTGACGGATTTTACACTTTTTATTTTATTTTGTTGTGTCGTTTACTCTGCTCTGCTCTCTGCCCTTCTCTGGTCGGTCTTCGTCTCTGCAGCGTTGAGCTGCTCGCCACCACATCCAAGCTCGGCGGTAACAGAGAAGCTGCCAAACTGTTCCTTTTTTTAGGGATAGCAGTCACCAAATTACAGCCGCCGGGGCAGTTAACTCCACCCGAACGCTGCTGCAGGACACGCCTAGCACTAACAGCCCGTGTGTCTGAGGAGTACATGGATTTGGGTTTTGTGTGTGTATGTGTGGAGTGAAGGAGAACAGGCATTAAGAAATGAGGGAGGTTAGAAAATGAACAGATCATTCTGGAGTTCAATGTCAGATTTTCAAACTAAAACACATATGGTTCATGTGTGTGTGTGTGTGTGTGTGTGTGTGTAGACCAGCTCACATTCCCACAAGTAAACATTTGTGTGGGTTTTACATTTGTTTGTTTCTTTCGGGGTCAGAGTTTATTGAAGCCTGGATCCTGCTACAGAAATAACACGATGGGTTGGAGAGAAAAAACCCAAAACTCTCTCTCTGAAAACAAATGAATATCCCACAAAGCGACTCCAGCCATAATTAGATTTATTCTCCCCAAGACAACACTGTCAAACATCATGTGCTCAGTCAGCAACTCATTTTTTAGCCACAGCGCGATTGTAATCGACACTGACTGTTGACGTGGCGGCTGCCAATAAACCAGCGTCGTGGCTCCAGCTGCCATTTTTGGTGAAGTCTCTGCTCCACCTTAACTGCCAACACACCCCTCGTTTGATGCCTTGATCAATACTGTGAGGGATTTTGGCACCTCCGGCGTTGAGAGTTCATGGCGTTCAACATTCAGAGACACAGACAGGAAGAGCAGCTCTGAGCAGTCATAATATGGGGTTGTGTGCAGACTCAGTCTTGAAGATTTCACAGTCGTAAAACTTTCCGCCCAGAGAAGAAAGGTGGCAGCAATTCACGAGTCAGAATAAAACGAAATGTCTGACTTGGTGGGATGTAAATGTGAACGCCTTCCTCTCCACTGTGGTCATGGGAGAACAAACAGCGTACATATAGTTTAAATACATGTTTGTTTAGCTTGACAGGGGCAAAGGTCACCTCGTGGGAACCCAAGTCAGAGTAATTGCGGTGGAAGTGAGAGCTGACAAGTATAACCGGCACTTGATGGATAGAGCGTATAGGAAATGTAAAGCTAATCTCAGACGCCCAGTGTGGGAAACTCAAACAAATGATCTCCTCGTAGAGGGCGGGTCGTTCGCCAACTTGGGCCCACAACTCCTCCTTTTTATCATCGACCAATATTTATATATCCATAGGTACGTTTCTAAATCCTCTCATATCCTCTCTGAGGCTCTCTCTTTCTCACCTAATCCCATCTTCACCTTTCAAATCCAACAGTTAAACCACTGGAATTCGTATTCTCACAGAAGTGTCGGTCTTCTGCCGCCTGTTTAGACAGCTTCAACCACATTTAGACAGTCAGACAGTCATATTATCTGTGTGTGAAGGTGTGTGTGATTGGTTGATGTGAATTGTGGGTAAGTTAAGGTTAAGTATGAATTGGTTGAGGTTAAGTTTAAGATAAGGTTTTGATTAGGCTGCAAAGTTGTAACAAGGATGCACAAGCCTGTGTGTGTGTGTGTGTGTGTGTGTGTGTGTGTGTGTGTGCGCGCACGCTCATACACACCTTTGACTCAAACAGGGGAATTCCCTCCCAGAAGTAAAACATTGCTGTAGAGAAAAGATAAGGCTCCATTTCAATAAGACCATATGACCAAAAGTATGTGGACACGTGAAAGTTACACCCAACCATACGTGAACATGTAATTTCAATTCCATGACATTACTGCGCTGCTACAACAGCCTCCATGCTTCGAGACAGGCTTCTCACATGAGTTGTTCCAGTCTCGTTGCAGGGATTTGTTCCCATTCAGGAGCTTTAGTGAGGTCAGACACTGATGCTGAGCAATAACTCAGAACTCTTCTTTAACATAAGCCCTTAAAAACAGGCCGATGTTTGTTTATGGGGATATCAACATACCTGTGGTTATATTGCAGCAGGCATAGCACCGCAGACAGTCCTGCTTCTTTGTACCTGGGATGCAGTTGTTGCTGTATCTTTAGCTGCTTAATCTTTCTCTACCGGCACAATTGTTTGTCTGTCTGTCTGTCTGTTTCTCTCTCACACACACACACACACACACACACACACACACACACACACACACACACACACACACACACACACACA